ACAGTCGACCCCCCTATAACACTGTTGATAATTCCGTTTTATATGAATTCCATGTTGTACGTGTCACTTAGATTTTACAAATACGTGTGCCGGACTGTGAACGGCTCACGTATTTGTAAAATCTAAGTGACTCGTACAACATGGAATTCATATAAAACGGAATAAGCAATAGTGTTATAGGGGGTCGACTGGTATTTAGCTTTATTGATTGAAAAATAATAATAAGCGAAATTAATTGAAATTCGTATAAATAAAAGAGAATTAAGAAGATAAATATTCGAAAATCTAGTTCAAGAAATTAATAAATTATGAAGAATTTTCTGTAAAGAATGACATTAAGGAAAGGTTAATGATAATGGAAATCAAGAAAAGACCATTTAGATACTCTAAGGAATTATTTGGTTCTAATCGAGCAGAACCAGACACCATCTTGAACTTAGAAAGGCCATTTGTAACAATAGAAGAAGAAAAAGAGGGAAGAAAATGAGTAGATGTCTCGACTTGAGTGCATAAACTGTTATAGCTACAAAGAAACAATATATATATATATATATATAATGCCTCGTTTTCTGAGGTTTAAGTACATTTAAATTTATAAATATCTTTCAGAATAAGGATCCGATTACAAAGATAATCCGAAAAACCTCAACGTAATAGCCACATTATAGAGAAGAAGATAAACTAACTTAATCAATGCAGGATTGAAGTACTAGATTACAATGAGATAAATTGAAGAGAGAGATTTTAATTGAGATTACTTTCTAGTGTAGTAGAAAAGAGATAGAAAATTTAATAAGAGGATTTCTTTCGCTTTGTTAAACACAATCAAGTAATTAAGTACTTCTACACGCTGAATTCTTTTCGACAATTCTCGTATGATGACTCATTTCGATCGGTAGAATAAATAATGACATTTAATCACATTTGTTTTTTTTTCTTCTTCTGTTTCAAACGTGTTTACAATGAAGAAAAACTAAGATAAATTTTAATTTAATTGTATATAACATTCGAACATTTGCTAAATAATCGGAGTAATATATAATTTAAATGCAAATTTTACCCAGCAAAGCCATGTATAACCTATGGCTCCAGCTATAGAAATACTTTCAAATTTACTCTTTTATATAAAAAATAAATGATATAAAAGTAATAAAAAGAAAGTTTTAATTTATATAAGTGATGAAAATCTGTTTATAGATTATATTCGTATATTTTATTGACCTTCGAAGAGGAGTAAAACATTCCACGTTTATAATTGATCCAAGCTCAATTACTGTATCTACTTTCTAATGAAAAATTGATGTAAATAAATAGAAATATTTACATAAAAATTAAACAAAATTAAGTAAAAAGTTTCATATGAATAATAAATACGAATAGGTTTAAAGTAGAGAACACTAGGCACTGTTTGATGTAACTTCTAAAGATGTAATTTAAATAATATAGTCTACAGTAAACCCCCCTATAACACTGTAGATAATTCCGTGTTATATGAATTCCATGTTGTACGAGTTACAAATACGTGAGCCTTTCACAGCCCGGCACACGTATTTGTAAAATCTAAGTGACTCGTACAACATGGAATTCATATAAAACGAAATTTTTCTACAGTGTTATAGGGGGGATCTACTGTATATAACAAATGTAAAAAGATATATTCTGTCAGAACTTATTTTAGTTTGTAATCGCTATTTATAACGATATAGAATAACTGTGGTATACGATATAATAATTACTGTAGTTGTAATCTAAGACAAGCTACTTCAATGCTATCATTTTGTAGAAATTCGATACAGATAGATAAGTTAGAAGTTTTAGAGATAAAATTACAAAAGGAGAACAATTTTTCTTATAGAATAAATTACTTTATAAGTTAACTAGGTTATTAAAAAAGAAGTAGGCTTTCTGATTATAAATGTTTATTATTTATTAGCTTTTTAAAGTAATTAAAACTTTAAATTCCACGATAGGATANTTAAGTTCATCCTAAAAAAAACAACGATTTAATTATTATATTAGAGCAATTAACTAATAACAATAATAAAAAAAAACCCGTTTCCTTTTTAGATTTACGACGCGAATTTATTTACTCTTATGATTTATATGGGGTGGCTATAAAATTCGGTGAAGTCCATCACAAAAATCCAATAAAACATGAAAACTAAATTATTTTATACCATTAAAATTAAACTTTTTAAATAAATTTGTCCCTTACTTTAATTGAAATATAATACAGTCGACCCCCCTATAACACTGTAGATAATTCCGTGTTATATGAATTCAATGTTGTACGAGTTACAAATACTTGAGCCGTAATTTACAAAGCCGTAAATCAAGGCCCTTGTAGTGACTTGATTAGCTCAAGTAACTACAGTTTAGGGCCTTGCATTTTTACTTGTATTTAGGGCCTTGTAGGATAGGGCCTGTTACATGTTACAACTTAAGTCCAGCCATCTTAAAGTTGAGAATTTGTAAAAATGTTTTAATTTTCTGAAGAATTTTTCTTTCTTTTCTACAATTTTATTAAAATATTAGTAAATTAATTAATATTTTAACAGTATCGATTCTTTTACGTGATAATCATGTAGTAGAAAGCGTAAAAATCAAGCCAAAACGATATAATATATAGTTTAAGTGAGTAATAATCTTCATTTAAATATAGAATATTGTATTGACAATTGGACAGAATTGTCCAATCGAAGTTAATGTTATGTCATTGATTCTTCTGTCAAGTCAGCTGAATGGAGTAATCCAATAATCAGGATTAAATTCTGCATTTAGCTATTTCTATTGATAATACGAATTTTTCCATAATTCTAAAGCTCAATTTAATAATATTCAGAGTATTTATACCCCGGAATTTAATTACAATTATTGTATTTGTCAAAAACAATTGTTAATCAATTCGGATGGTTTATTGGTTGATATACATCACGTGATTATTTTAAAATTTTAAAATTAATCTTCTGAATATGTACAGTACTTTAATACATATATGTAATTCGAGTAATTACCGTAATTATTTCTCTTTAATATTATTTTTAAAATTTGAAAAATATTCGAGAAAATAATAATAATAATCGTTTATAATAAAATATTTTTGAAATAATTTTATGATGTAATTTCGTTACATTCAAAATCAAGCATGATTATTGGTTAATACGAATCACGTGATAAGAAGTCTTAATATTAAATATTCGAATAAAACTTTTTAATTTAATATTATTAATTCATGAATTTAAAAATGTTTAAAAATGTTTACAAAATATATAAATTTTAATTGAGAAAAATTTATTTATTAATTCATGAATGCATTTGTTTATGCGAAACAACATTGGATATTTGCTATCATTCTATATTTATAATTCAATAAATTTGTTATTAATTTTTCGAATTTAATAAACATGAAAAGTTAACTTAAATAAAGGCTTATTTAATAAATTTCTTTAATTAATTTATAAAGAGATCGTTTGGCGGCGATTGGTGACAATAATCACGTGATCGCATGTTTTATTTAAGACAAATATTTAAAATAAATAAATAAATAATTTAAATTTAATCGTGTTTAAAATATCAATTTTTAAGATTTTATTATTAACTTTAACGAATTTTTACATTATTAAGAACTTCTTTTTTTTTAAATTCAAAATTAAACGAAATTATTGGATGAGACGTAATATTTAAATTTTCAAATGAATTAATTATTCATACGTTAGATACATAATTAAAATTAGTTTTAGTAAAATTCACATAGGATAAATTACATTTTTCGCCCTTTAAAGAATAAAAATTATAAAATAATTTTTGTCACGTGGTAAAAATTGTCACGTGGTAAAATTTCAAACTTAATAAACAATTTAAAGTAATAATTAATTAATTAATAGCTATTAAATTATATTTTTCGGATGATAATTTTATAGTAAATCTTCCTAGAAAATTAATTAAAACTTTTTTTTTTTAAATTATGAAAATAACGACGTCTTGAATAAAAAATGTTAATAAATAATTCACCCTTTCGAATTTTACGTGAGACCAAAAATAGGAATTTTGTCAATTTAGAATGCTTGTATCATAAGGATACGACTTCTTTACAATATTTCAAATACTTTACAAACCGCAACTAGAAAAGAAGTACGAAAATATACTTCAGTAGAGTTCGCTAGATAGTTCCAAAACGTGACCCTTAATGGAATGAATGTTTTCAATATTGAAAAAAAGGAAAAGATTCAATTTAGGCGATTATAAACATTAAAAACACTAATACACACTTAAAGAAACGTGGTTTATGCGAAGACGCCGATAAATTCTGTTATGAAATACGATATTTAAAATTAATTACTGGATTTTTTTAAAAATACTTTTCGCTAGTTTTAAACTTAGAAACTTTACAAAATTTATTATTTTTAAATTAATTTGCAGATATTTATTACTATTTAAATGATACTTATAGAATTTTATGAGAATTTAGCAAACGATTTTTATATTTTTTTAATTAAAAAATTATTTATTATTTTTTTATTTACTTAAAATGTATTTTATTAAATAAAATAATTTAAAAGTTTAGTTTAAATTTTTTAAAAATAATTTATGAAATTTTAGAAATGTCTATTACTCAGATTATATCAAACGACGAAGTAAATATAAAAATCGAAATTTATTGGACGAATTATATCACGTGATAAAAAAAATTTAAAAAAATCTTCTCAAAATTCATTTTTAGACAAAATGTTTTAAACTTGAAATTTAAAAATTAATTAATAAAATTTTATAATTCGTTTTTATTTACAATAAAGGAAAAAAATAAAAAATAAAAAAAAACATAAATGAACACGAAAGGCGCTACAAAAATAAAGCCAAATAATTGGACGGATGTCATCACGTGATCAAAATTTCGAAAATTTAAACGTTTTTACCGCCAAAATTTAAACAAGGTAAAGTATTATATTATATTTATTATTATTTTTTGTATTTTTAAACTATTTTAAGCTTTACGACTATATTTTAAAGCCGAAAGGATAGAATAATAATAGAAAAAAAGAGAATAAACGCAGTTTTTGAGTTATGTCTGCTGTATTTTCTAAAGATGTGTGAATGAACAGAGGAATAAATAGGAGTTAGGTGTTACATCAATGCTCTTTTATACTCCAGGACAGGTATAGACGAAGACAGCTATCTGGCACAGCATGCACAAGTTACTAAGTTTATTCAACAAATCGTTCCCGAAATATCAGTGCGATGACCTAAAGTACACTCGGACACAAAAAAAATCTTGGCAATGGAAGGCTAATCATCATCTCACTGAGTTATATTATACTCTATTCTACCACAAAACTAGTCCAAGAAAAATAACCAATTTAGGTATAAAATTTTGATCAAAGATCTTCTGAATGATTCCAAATAAATTATAAATTTTAAATAATATACATTTATTTTTTAATTTCTAGGCTTATTTTTGAATTTTATAAAGAATTTTTGAACAATTCACAAGGAAAATATAAGATTTTATCCTTACAAATAAAAATAGTAAGTATTTTATTATAATTTGAAATGTTTTATAATATATAATTTGTTTGCCAGAAGGAAACCTTAAACAAATTTATAAAGGGATAGTAGAATGGATCATGGATTATTTAATGAAATATTTATGAAATTTAGAAGATAAACATGATAATATTTACCAAAATATAATATAAATCTAGCAAGAAAATCATCTAAACAGTAATATATACATGCTTATATTACCAGTCGACCCCCCCTATAACAATGTTGATAATTCCGTTTTATATGAATTCCATGTTGTACGAGTCACTTAGATTTTACAAATACTTGTGCCGGGGTGTGAACGGCTCACGTATTTGTAAAATCTAAGTGACTCGTACAACATGGAATTCATATAAAACGGAATAATCAACAGTGTTATAGGGGGTCGACTGGTATATGTGTACTGTACTGTACATGTGTGTTACATATACATATAATATGTATTTTATATTAAAATTTGTTCACATTAAAGTTAAAAAAATGAAATAATTATATTAAAACTCATTGCTGGTAATTTAAATAAACGGTTTGAAAGTCCTGTAGAGACAGAATTATCTTTCATTCTATTTATCAAGTTAAAAGAAAACAAAAGGTCAATTTATTACTTCAGTGAAGTCTTTGTGAATTCGGGGCACATTCTCTCTAAATTATGACTGGATAGAAGCATAAAATGTTCTCAAAATGTGTTCTTAATGGTTTCTCAACTAGTCTTTAGTGTTCCAAATGTAATAGGTGGTGGCTTAATTAAGACTATTACTCATTTTAGAAGTTATTTTGTATCGGTGCATTGTACTCATATTTAAAGTGAAAAGAAGGATGCTCTTCGAAACTCTGACTTGATTATTGTCTTGTCAGTTCTAAAAGGTAGTCTTAAGTGGCAATTTCTATCCACATAAAAATCAGATGATGAGTAAAGTTACTCTTACTTCATCACTGATATTTCTTGGTATGTAGATGTGTTACAGTTAAAAAAAAATACATTCAGTTTAAATAATATGAAGAATTAAACTTTTATTATTTAAATTTAAATTAGTAAAATCTTTAAACATAAATTAACTTTACAGTAGTATATTTTTCTAACATTTAATGCAAGTTGAGTGTAGAATACACACAGAGCTTTTATATATCAATCAATAAAACACTTCACTAACATCATCAATCAATCAAAACAGTATATCGACCTTATGTAAGTTGTAAATTGTTGTTTAAATTGTTTTTTTTTTCTTAGAACATTAATAGCTAACAGAGAAATGTAACTTGCTCTATATAAATTAAGTGTAATTTAGAACACAGTTATATATTTTTAAGACTTTTCTCTTATTAGTTATGTCTTGAACTTAATACAGTAAAACAATATATATATTTTTTCCTTTTAGTTAGGTTTTACTGTATATAAACAACAATAATAAATTTACGAAACAGGATAAACTAAAAGCAACTAAATAAATTTAATTATATATATATCCTGCAATGATAATATGAAAGTCTAATGGTAATTAATATTAAAATATGGGAAAAAAATCAAATACAGGGGAGCTGAAAAATGAAGTAAAACCATGCTGTTTGCAAGTAATTTGTGAAAGTGTGTCATAGAGTTGTAATTTGTGTATAGGATAAGAAGTACAGTATCACATTTTAGACAAAGTTTTGTAAGCAATAAACTATTTGAATGTGACAAATATTTCTTTTATAATGGTTAAACGACTTTTAGGCCATCCCATAAAACATTGAAGTTATGTGACAAAAAGAAAGTTAACATTAGATTATTATTTTTTATATTTACTTTATATTAAATATTTATAAAATTCATATAATTTTTTTTTATTATTATTTAAACTTTATAAATTATAATATTCTTATTGAAAGTGTCAGAGAGTCATTTAAATTAATAATAATAAAAGTTATAACTGTATACATTTCAAATTTTGGTTAACAGATGGCATTAGTAATATATATATATACAAGATTTCCAAGAAGATTTCTTCCTAACATTGTTGTTATATGGATTTAACTATATCAAACAAAACGATTTACTTAATCCCCAAATAACATTCCATTAGAATTAAGTAGACAAAAAAAGTATTGTTATTACTAACTCTAGTATAACACAGTTACTAATTTAGAATTAATGGTAGCAAATACCAATTTAGTGCGCAAGCCCTTTAGTCTATTTCTCCAATGATTATTTTTAACTTTCTTCTTTAGTTTCTAACTGTGTATTTTTTTTCTTTTTACACACATTTCTTCTAGGTAAGAACGTGCATTGCGTTTTATTAAGTAATGCGTTGTAATGAATCGTGTCACAGAAATAGAAGTAATGTGTAAACACGTTGTTTGCTTTTTGTACTTTATGAGAGAGAGAAAGAGAGAAAGGAATTCCGAAAATTTATACATTAATAAAACCGTATTCGTGTTTACGATCTTTATCATTTAACATTCTTAGTGTCAATAGGTCATTCTCGAAGAAAAGTATCATACTGTACTTCATAGATAAGTACAAGTTCGACATGGCATTCATCCAAATATCGTTACATAATGCAAAAGGAAAAAAAACTGCGAAATTTTAAACTTAATTTTCAAATATTAAAAAAATCTGTCCTATCTTGCGGGTCATTTGATATTAACTTACCATATCTGCACGTTCTTAAACCCGACTTGTCAGCGAACCTGAAACGTGATGTCAGCAAGTCCTTAAAAGTGCGATTGGACAAGTAGCGAACTCAGTAAAGAACAGCAAGCACCATTACTATTTAGAAAGTTAAAAAAAAAAGGACGAAATTTATGCAAAAATTAAAATAACTTTTTAAAAAGAATTTGATTATGAAACTTGCCTGTTAAGTCACTTAAGTAATGGACGATATTTTTAATTATCCTGCAACGTAACACACACACAAACCACACAAGAAAAATTTAAATAATTTAATATTTTATAATACTTTTTAAAGAATTAAATAAGAGAGTTGAGACGTACGAGCCATAGTGGCTAGGACACAAACGAGAAAGTGTGCACGTCGTTGTATGTAGGAGCATCTCTCTCTCTCTTTCTCTCTCTCTCTCTCTCTTTACCTGGCAGTGTTCCAACGTGCTAGTTTTCTTTCAACATTACCGATCTCAAGTAAAGTTTGTCTAATCTGATAAGAAAAATACACTTGATATTACTTAAGATGTAAAACAATCGTCAATGGTCAGCTTTCCTGTTTAAGTGAAATGTAACAAGGGAAAGACTGACTTACAGGGATTTTTTTTCTACTGTAATNATCTTTTTAATTATTGCATTTACTCAATAAGCGAGAATTGTAAATTGATAAAAATATGAATTAAGTTGTTTAATTAACTACTGATAGATATAAATTTTGCTATTATCTAATTATTAATGAGTATGTTTGAAAAAATTTATTTTACACGTTTTTAATGTTAGGAAGGAATAGCTGAAAAGGTAAACCAGAATTTTTGTTAATACAGTATTTAAATTAGCAGAATTTATTTCCTAAAAGTAAACAAAACTGTTTTGTTAGATATACTCTAGTTTATATTGTATATTATTGACTAATGATGCTATTTAATTTAAACATGAAATAAAAAGGAATCAAAAAATGCTGAAGAGCATACTGAGACCAAAAAGGAAAAAGCGGAAGAAAAAGCCAAAAAAAAATAAGAATATAATTCAACTGTAATAAATTTTTAATATTTTTCTGCTTTTAATTATTATATTTACATATTTTTAGATGAAACATTTATAATTTTTTAATATATAATTTCAGATGAACTGGTGGCTTATTAGGAAACTTATGAGTCGTCGTCTGTTCGTAGTTGAAAGTAAAAAGAAAAAGGAAAATTGATTATTGGTTGTAATGTTTAAATTCCTTGGATAAATAAAAATATTTAGCAAATTACTTTTATGTTATAAAAAGAACTTTCTTTTCGTAAAGTATTAATTCATAGTTTAATTAAAAAACTCGATTATACGCGATTTAATTGGGAAATTTATAGGATGCAATCAATTTTAAATTTCTTTGCTTTTAAATAAAATATAAATAATTTATAGACAAAACTCCTAATAAGCTAATCCTCTAAAGACAATTATTTGGAAAACAAATTTTTAAATGTTTGCGTACGTATTACAAGATGACGTGCACACAAGCATAAAGTGATAGAAACATAGAAAATACACTTTCAATTCTATTTTCGGAAGAGAACCTATCCATAAACCATTTATACAATACCATTTATCTATAGTACTTTATTTAAATTAACTGTTTTTATACTACTGTATTAGGTTCCGTTTTATTATATAAATATGAATATATATATAAGTTGACCCTTTCCGAACTAAAAAGCTTTTTTTTTTTTTTTTTTTTTTTTATCAAGCCCATATTCGGCTAGTTTACAATGGGGCAGCCGGGTGGTAAGGGACAAGGCCCGATATGTCCAGGACGGGCCACCTTCAAAATTTCTGGGGTTTTCGAGCCGTCTGGATTCGTTTTCGTTTCCGGTTCCTCAGAGCGGTAGGCAACACCTTAACCATTAAGTCATCCCGTCGTCTACAAAACGTTTATAACTAGCAGATAAGCCCGGGTTGGCCAGGCAAAATTAAGAACAACAAACATTAAAACGAAAACCATATAAAGAGTTTGGTTATTTCAGCCTGTCATTATCGTGTTTATTGCAATACTTGGATTGTACAAAATAGCACAATTTCATTGGTCAAGTAGACAGCAATTGATGTTTTCCAATATAAAATAGTCGTTCACTTCAGCCTGCTTGTTACTCTTGAATAAGATATGATATTTTAAATTCTTAAGATTTATTTTTTTTTTTTTTTATAATGTTATCTCTAACGTACCGTACCACTCACAGCCAAATATTAAATGGTAATTTGCCAAAGAATCCACTTTCGCGAAAAGTGGACAAAGTGAACCAAATATTTAAACTCGGTGACCACAAAACCCCCTTAAAACATTTTGTGATTGCCGGTAACTTTGTATTAATTAATATGTAATTTTCCTATTCGAATGCCACCATACCGCTTGTCCGATAGAAAGAAGGGACTGTTGCGAACGAGGTTGAAGTCAATTCGAACAAAAATAGTCGTTGACCTCTTCCTAAAAGAGAGGATATGATCCCTGAAAAGTTTCGTTGCAGTTACTGAAATCGTGTGGAAATGCGGACAACGCTGGGTTTATGAGAGACAAATTTAAAGCATATGAAATTATTAATTTTACAAAATACTGTTCAAAAAGAAAAATAACTTCTGAATACATTAATAGTTGAGAAGTGATCCGTGTTTGATTGGTTGTGATAGCCTCGCATGTGATCAAAGTTGCTAACCTAAACTTCCAAAGTAATTCATATAACACTTGCTTAAAGTTTATATATATTATAAAAATACAAGTATAATTGCTTTTAAGTGATAATAAAATGTTAAAGTTATTTTTAAGTGATTTGAAAGATTGTAAATTTCAAAAATGTATTTAAAAACCCATTTTAAGAACATGATCGTTATAAAGTACAGTACATGGGAAGTAAGCCCTCGTAAATAGTAGTTTTATAGAAAAATTATTAGAATTCAGAAATGAAAAACCCGAGTTACATCTAACAACTCGGGTATTTTCATTTTCATTTTTGAATTCTAATAATTAAACATTTATTTAGTTTTCACAGTGTAACACTTTGAACTCTACACAGGTGAGTGTTATGTGCTCATCGCAGTAATGATATAGGCGTCTACTTCGCGCTATATCATTGTCGCAATAAATAAGTGAATATGTATAATAATATTTTTAATTAATTTATTTAAATGAATAACTCATTCTTGTAATAAAATAATCCTTGGAAAGATTCAATAAGCAGTAAATGTAAATAAAACATTCAATCAGAACAACGTGAATTTATACCGAGCGATTGTAATTACTGTATTCCAAATTCAATGCTTTTTTGGAGTCATATTTAGCATTCTAATTGCTCCAAATCTGATGTGGTGACATTTCAGGACATGCCTAAGACATAACAAAAAAGAGAAAATCAAAAAAATTAGTACCAAAATGTGCCGCTGTGGTATTTTTGGAGCTTTGAACCATAATCGATGAGATTTTTAGTCGCGAAGACAATTAAAAAGCGTGGTTTATCGAGGATCTGTGATCGTAATTTGATCACAGAGGATCATATTTTGATCCTCTGTGATCTTCTCGCATGTGATCCTCTGTGATCTTCTCGTTTGCCGGTTAAACACGCCTTCAGAAATGGGGATTCCATCCNAAATAAGTGAATATGTATAATAATATTTTTAATTATAAATTTTTTATATCAATTACTGTATATTTAGTTTATTATTTGTAAAATTTATTGCCAATAGATGACGCTACATGAATGACAGAAAATCGAATATACACAGAAATTAATTGATATATTGTATAGAAATTCAATTAACATTTGGGGGAATATGTACGAAATTATCTCAGTTAGAAGTGTGTTAACGTAACTATCGAGTTTCATTTGAATTGGAGGAACGGCCTAGGAGGCCATAGAGAACAAACATCCTCGTTTATATATACATATGTTAAACTCACATTAAATCTATTTTAAGTCGCATAAATAAATAATGTCGCATAAATTGGTATATTTATTTTAATGAAATTTCACATTCACAAAAATACTGCGTATACCTCATAACATATTTTGTAATTTGATTATGCCATTATAAACATGTCGAAAAACTCTCAAAGACATGCAATTGACTTTCATCGCCAATAAAAAAGTAACATACAATAATTTAGTCTAATTTTATATAAAACATTATATATATCTAATTATCATAGATGTCACTTGATTACTATGATCATCATCATCTACAATGGATTAAAAACGGTCACTAGAAAAATTTTGAGACAAAGCACTATTAAATCTACACTAAACAGGAAATTACGTCACAATTTTTAATCTCTAGTTTTATAAGCTTTAAACGCGAGGAATGATAATTCTAATGTTGATGTAAAATAATAAAATTTGAAAAAACATACATATAAAGCCTACCGGTACAGAAATTGCAGTAGCTCAATCATTCTTAGATTATTACTATTTTATCTTAGACTAGCAGACCCAGCCACGCGTTGTTGTGGCTCAAAATGTATCTATTATAAATGTATAACACTTGACACGTGGGGAGAAATTTTTCGAAAAATTTCTTCTTAGTGTACATTCTCTTGTACACTAGGAACTGCGTTTTAATAGGGTACGTACTCTTGTACGTACCCTATTAAAACGCAATCAAAAACGCAAAAACCGGCATCTAAAATAGTATAATAGAAGCCAAGCCAAGTTCTTCACGGTAAGCCTTAATCCTAACCATCTCCCTTCAGTGGGGGGGAATTTCGACATGTATACAGTATTATATAAAAACACGTGCGTATTCGAATGCAGCGTTGTGTCAAAAATTCAAAGGTATCGGTAGGAACAAACGAACATTACATTTTTATTTATATAGATAGATAGAAGATGATCTGCTTTAGTTCATTTTCACAAAAAAGCATAATGCTTCACAGAAAAACAAACTTAAGGCGTCGTACTCGTAGCGCCATCTGTTGGACATAAAAGCCTTAATTTAGATTATATCTTTTAATTTATATGAATGTTTAACGGAATAATATACAGCCTATGTCCACCCTGAAATTCCATTCTAAATATTGGTGAATTTTTGAAATCGGATGAGTAGTTTCGGAGATTACCCGCTACATCCAAACTTACTTACTTACAAACATTATCTCTTTATAATGTTAGTACTGTACAGATATAGATATAGATGTACTGTACACGAAACACAATAAAGCAGTGTTTTTCAACCTGTGGGTCGCGACCCCCAGGTGAGTCGAAAAGCCATACACGGGGGGTCGCGGGTAAAAGAAAAAGACAAGTGTTTGTAGGTCCTCCACTACAATAAAAAAACTACAATTTCAGTGAGAAGGCTGTGCATGTTTATTTTACAGTACAGTTAGTTTTTTTTATCGATATTTAAATCTCAACAGAAAGAAAATTAAATACGTAATTTTTAAAATCACTGACATAGTTTTAATATGGCTGTGGGGGGTCGCCAGAATTTTTTAACTTGTAAAGGAGTCACGTATTCAAGAAGGTTGAAAAACACTGCAATAAAGTATGAAATCTTCATTCAATGACTACGTTTTACATTCGTAATTATTTAGCTATGGAAAGTCGTGATATCGGGGACGACAAAAGCCATAACAGTAATATTAAGAATTTTCATTATGTATAGTTTTGGTATCGGTACCAGTGCTTTTTTTGGGGGGAAAAAAGTGATGAAACGCTCATCTCATTACTAAAAATATATATTACATGCATCTTACACAAGGTTCGGCACATAAGCAAGAGCAAAACCGTCTTAATAATTTTGTTGACGATCTTCTAAGCTCAACAGAGCGATTCAATGCGGATTAAACATCAAATTTTCAAAAATTCTCTTAAAACTTTTAAAATATATCGAAAAAAGGCGGTGGAACACCGTTCCATTGCGTTCTATGACAAAAAAAAAAAAAAAAAACGCTGATCGGTGCCAATGTAATATTAATATATTATTCAATAAAACGATATTTCGGTGGCGGTGCATTACAGATTTATTTCATTACGAATTATTCCAATGTTTATTTCATTATGAACAGTTTGAAGGAATTATACACACTTTAAAGCGACAGAAAGTAACTGTAATCTGTAAAAAACGCACCGCCAAGCGCGCGTTTGAAAACCGAAATATTGTTTTAGTAAAATTCACATTGTCATCTATACCAAAACTATACAATGAAAATTCTTGACACCACAAACTGATGGACTAATTTGCATACAACAGGATTATTTACGACATAATTCATTTCATTTCTTAAGAAAAAATGAACTACGTTGTTAAATACAAAAATAAAAAATATTTTTTTTTAATTTTAGAAATAAATAACTCTTAAAATGTAATTTTTGCACGCTTTAAATTCCTCATTTGAAATCGTAATGTAATTTTCTGCCTTGTCAAGTTTTATAATTTAATATTTTAGACGAAAATATTAAATTATTTATTATTTCTAACAAAATTTAAAAATTTATCACTTACAATTAGATTAAATTAAATTTTACCATTAATTCAAATATTATTTTGTTTACATCTGGCAACACTTCGGATCGGGCACATGTTTATGTTTTCAAAGTGTGATTCGTGTCTCGTTATGGATGCATCGTATAAATTACAGCATGAGGAATTTGTCAGTCAAAATAATGGTACTAGTCCGGGAGAAGTCTTGTTATTATGTTCTGTGATGCCAATTTCTAGTTTACTTCTTCATCTTTTGCTTTTACAAGTACAATTTAATACAATGTAAGAGATACTACTATTATTTTATACAATATAAATGACATTCTTATTTTTGTAATTAAAGTGAAATAAATTTATGATTCAAAAAATTGTCATATTTTTTCAGATGTCAAATAGGAGTTGAAATTCTGGTTTTGGTGATTCCTACTGTGTTTGCATATACAATTTGGAATGATTATGTTATATCATTAATTATTTGTTTAGTTCTGACTTGTTTTTGCATAATAATATATATTAGAATAAATGAAACTTATGAAAAAGACAAGATTCATATTATGTGTGAAGATATTAAAAACGATCACTCAAGGTAATTATAAAATTACTGAAAATTTTAAGCAAAACATATACTGTATTTTAAACTGATAGTTGTGAAAAGATTATTGATATAATCTTTTCTTAATATAATATATGTAGATACATATATTATATGTATCTACATACAATTAAATTGAAAGTTATGGAAAGATTGCATCACCGTATATCATAGTGATGCATTCTTTCCATAACTACCAATTTAGTTGTATTAATATGATAAAATTTGCCATTTTTAAAATAAGATTTGATGTGAAACATTAATATTGTCTTTGTTTAAAATTGACATATATTATTTAAAAGCCAAATAATCTGTTGATCCAGTTTTTAAAAATTTATTAGAGATAAATATATAGTTAGACACAAAACTTTCAAAATTTTTCTGTTTTTACTTGAATTGTTATTCAAAATTATGCTAAAAACAAACCTTTTAAAAATATGCATGAAAAAAGTTAATAGGTAGGTAATGATGGGTGATGGGTGAGCATAATTATCCTTAAGTATGCTTTTGCATGTTGAAGTTTTAAACTTTAAATAATGATATTTAAAGAAATGAAATTAATATGTTTTAATTAGAATAAATGTAAATCTGATTGAAGGAGATGATTGGGTGAGAAACCAAAATTGTATGATACATTACATGCCAGATGATTTCTCCCAACATGCTACTTTGGGCATATGTGACATAAGTTCACACCCCTGGACTAGACTGAATGTAAGCTACTTTTCCAATTTTTTTCAATCTAAATTGTTAGCATTTCTGCAAGAAGTGTGTAGTACATTTTGCATTAAAGTTTTTAATTAATAAATAGATATTTATGTGCAAGTAAATACTTCTGTACATTTTTTTAAGAAAATATGCAACTTTTTATTAAAATAAATTGAAAACAAGTAAAACGGCAAAACCATATTTGAGACAAGACTATGTGTTGGAGACAGAATCACTTTGATGCTCAAGGCAGGTCTCGTTCTCATTCTCCTATCTTCTTTGATATCGCTGCTTTTGTGCACGATTGTTCAAATGTCACCAGCCACAACCACGAACAAAATCATCCACGATGCATCTTCGATGAAATTAACCTATCTAATTTCAAAATTTCTCTCTGTTGCGGCCCTGGTTGAATTTTTGTCAATGCACAATGAAAAATTCCAGTTTTTGAAAAAATAATCGTGGCTATTGTATCGTCCGAAATTATTCTTTTATTTTGCACAAACAATATACAGTTTAACCCGATTATAATGTCATCGAATGTAATGACAACCCTAATATAACGTCAAATTTTTGTTGGTCCTACGATTTTACTATACTAGATAATGTTAAAAAAAATACCCACTTGTAACAACATAAAACCGTTCTAACGTCATATTTGAAGCACTCCCAAATTTACAAAATTAGATTACAAATTTTATTTAACATAGAAGAAACTATGTGTTCAGTCCTAAGGTCAGAGTTCACTTCTTAGAATGACTGTGAGTGGTGCTCTTTCCTACCTGACTTTGGTGGGGTGAGGTGGCTGTTTTGCCTGTTTGTAGAAGAGGGTTGCCATTTTGTATTTTATTTTGACTTGATTCTCGGTCCCCTGACTACCTAAGAGTCTGGATTATTTTATGCACAAATGATTTGGGCACCTAATACTCTGTGCCAAATATCAACTCTCGACATGTACTCCTTCAAACCTCTATGCTGGTAAGAACATCGGGCAGTACGATTTTATAAACAACACATAGTCTTGTCAATAAAAGTAAATTTAAAAGTCAACTATTTTAAATGCATTTTTAACTTATATTACTTATTCATTTCATTGTTTGTTAATATACAGGGTCTTTAATTATAAAGTTCCATTTTGAAATGACCATAAAAGGAAAAGTACTGGACAAAATGTTATCAAACTTGGTAATAGTTTACAGAAAGTCATGGGATTTTATTCCCCCAAAAAAATAGTTCAAAAACTCACCACCAACAGGAAATGATGCTGTATGCAATATTATTAAATGAAATAAGACATGAAGACATCAGTTGAAAATGAAAATGAACAATTTTGCAGAATTGAAAAATGCGATACACTGACAAATCTGTAACATTCCTCCTGATATGCTAAGAGCTACTGTTGAGAACAGTAATGTGATTTAACTTGCTTTGAGAAAATGGTGGACACCACATTGAACATGCTTTGTAACATGTTTTAGAAACAATTAAAAACATTTTCAACTGATGTCTTCATGTCTTATTTTGTTCAACAATATTGCATACAGTGCCATTTCCTGCTGGTGATGAGTTTTTGAACTATTTTTTTGAGGAATAAGATCCCATGGCTTCCTATAAACTATTACCAAGTTTAATAACATTTTGTCCAGTAGTTTTCCTTTTTATGGCCATTTCAAAGTGGAACTTTAATTATAAAGATCCTGTATATTTCTAAAACTAAAGTCATAAATTCACTTTTGCATGTTATGCTGGAAATGACTGCATTATAATGAAATTATTTATTATGTATTAATTGAATCTTCTGGTATGTATTGTAAACTACACAGTAGTGAATCCTGCACTAAATGAGGTATTCCCATATTTATAATTCAGGGATTCAAAATTCTGGAAAGTCAGGTAAATGAAAAGTCAGGAAAATTAAGCATTTCTAAATGAAATACTATAACCAGTTCTTATTTTTATTTATTGCTACATGTCATAAATTAATTAAATAATCTTTGGTTAATTTTTGGATAAAATGTGTTAGTGCATTACTTTCTCACAAAGCTCAGTTCATTTTACTACAGTAGGCCTATTTCAAATTTTTGCACTGAGTCTTTAGTCTCAATTCTAGAATTAAATGTGTAGTAACACAAACATGTTGGGGATGTCAAGTGATAAAAACATTTGTTGAATCAGTCCAGTGAACCCAGTCCTATCGTATAGACATCCTCAATACATTTGTGTTGCTACACATATAGTTCAAGACTAAAGGCTGTAGGAACTGACTGTATTAATGTTCAATGGTACATGACTGTATTGACAGTTCATGATATGACGATTGCTTTAGACTCTGCTAATTTTATTATATGATAAAATATTTTTTCTTATTTATTATTAAGTTTAAACTGATTTTCTAGTAATTGACAATTCAAAGCTGTTATTTATCACAACATAAAACAAAAAATTGAGAAAAATCTACTACTAAATACAGGTAGCCTATCTCTCAAGTAAAGACTCCTAACAGTGAGTTGTTAGTTTGGTATTTTTTAAAGATAAATATATTAGCAGCTATATTTAAATATTATATAAAACATATTAAAAAGGTTTTAAGTACTGTTTTAGCAATGTTTAATGTGTTAAAAATATCAAAGATTATACAAATATAAACACCAAAGAAACATGATATTAAGCAAATATTCACTCACAACTGCCACAAATTATCCAAATTATAGCCTGATCATTTACGGCAGTTGTGGGTGTATATTATCAAAGGTTATATCTCAACATTTTTCAATATTCAAAATATTGTATTACACACATTATATTGTATATCTTGCATGAGAGAATAGTTAATTACTAGCAACTAATTATTTTACAAGTTTCTATTTCTCATTGTTACCATATTACATACTACATTATATACTGGTGTAATGATGGTCTTATGGGGATGAGAGGAGGAGAAGGAAAATTATTATGCCAAAAGTTAAGTCAATATGAAACTAACTTATATATTTTACCATCTACAAAAGTAAATATTAAAAATATGCCTGCGACATGTATTGAAAAAATTAGATCAGGAAGAAAATTGGAACTCAGACTATAAAAACTCAGAAAAATAAGATATGATTTTAATATGGGAATCATGTATTTATCATTTGTTAAAATTTCAACAAGTATTTTTATATTGCAGTTAAATTAACATTAAATTAATATTTAACAGATCCAAAAGTGATTTTTGAATAAATGAAAATTATAGTGATTAATATGTTAGTTTTTAAATAAAGTAAATATATACTTAAAATTTATTTTCAGAATTTCTTTTCTAAAGAATTGTGTTATAGGAGAAAAAATTCATGAATGTTTATTAAAAGAATTTCGTTGTCAACTTCTCCTGTCAACCATTATTTGTATCTTAGCTGTTGATTTTGAAGTGTTTCCTCGTTCCTTAATAAAAACTGAAATATATGGATGGAGTTTAATGGATACTGGAGTTGGTGTTTTTGTATTAGCGAATGCTTTTTATTCAGGTCATGCAAGAGGTAAAAAATATGTCAAAAAGTAAGTTATTATATTATACATATATGATTACTTATACTATATTATATTATAATAATAAATTTCAGTTTATAATTTTGTAGATATAGTAAAATAAAATATTCTGTATATTTTTCATTTCTAGGATTTCAGTTTTATTGTTTAATAATACCATAGAAAATCATATATAAAGATTACAAAGACACAGACAGATTATAGTGTTTGAGTTAATGGCATCCATATTATTGTTTGTTCCTTTTGTTATATATATAACAAATTACCTGAAAAAAATTCTGGAAAGTATTTCATTTAACTGGATTTTTTTTCTGTATTTCAGAACATTTAATTTCAGCTAATAGAGGTGCTTTCCTACTTATGAACAGGTTAGGTTCCCGAGGTTTTGTCATAAGTTTAAATCTAATCTATGAAATACTTTTGTACACTTATGTTAGTGTTTGCCCCTTCAATGTACTGTACTTAATAGAATACATTATGCTTGTTTCCCTGCTCTCTACTGCTTAGTAGCAGGTATTTCAAATGTGTTTTTTACCTAAGTCACTTAGTTTTATAATGTCGGGTTTAATTTCTACAGTAATAAAGCCATACTTCTTACATCTATCATCACTGTTAGATTTATTATTACATTTTGGACACATTTTTGAAGCATTAATTGTAAAAGTTTTTAAAAGTTGCAAACAATATTGAAAAGCACCATTACTCCAACATTACAAACTTTGATGCCACCTCACCAGTGATAATGGAATATCAGAATTCACATGAAAACAAATAATGATGATTTGCAATAGAAATAAAGCCACATTAATTATTTTTAGAAAATTTATTATTTATTACTGGCTAAAGATTGACTTCAACACACCCCATGAACTGGCAAGAGAACTTGCAAAATTTAAATTTTAGACATATGGTCAAATTGTTTGTAAATCTGAAAGTTTATAAGTTGAGGGGGAACTCCTGTATTTTTAAGACATCTAATTTTGATTTATATACAGTATACAGACTAATCAATTTTACACAACTTAGTGTAATATATTAAAGAAGAATACACACAGAAACAGATTTATGATCTTCAAACTCTGCACTATTTTACTTTTTCAATCAACCAAGTTTTCACTAAATAAGTATAATTTAGATTAAAATCTAAACAATTGTTTTATTTTCTTTTTAACTTGAGACATCAATCAACAAAAATTTTACAATAGCTTGATTTTTAATATATCCTTTATTGTGAATTTCTTAATTGTAAATGAATGTTGAAAAATAATAAATGTTTCTCCTTATCAGTACACTTGGTTTAATACAAGTACTGTAACTTAAGGATTTTTAACACAATTTATATGAGTAAAACCTATTCCGTTTAAGGTACAGCAACATTCTTATATTCACAGATCTTACATTTTTGTACATAATTAAAATTTTTCCTAAATACTTTTTATAGTTATTATAATTTATACACTTATTTAAAACCAGAATAACTTACAAACGTTTTTTTCCTTACTTTTTTAAAAAGTAGTTTTTTCATACCGTTTTAACAATTTTAGTCTAATCAGTTTATTTTTTGAATCCTTTCTGATGTTTATACTATTAACTACATTTATATCCTACCACAGCACATAAAAGATACTTTAACTTATATTTATTTAGTGAAAAAACTGACAATTTAATATGTATTAGAAATTTAATATCCATAAAATGTTCAACTATAACTGAAATTCTGTTCTAAATTTCAGTTAAGAAATATAATAGAGTTTATATAATATATATTAGTAAAAATAACCTTGTAATAAACAAATAACAGCAAAAGTAGCTATGTTGAATAAATTATAAAAAATTATGTATTTTAAGATTAATATGAGGCATACTTATACAGTCGACTCACCTATAATGCGGATTCGTATATCGCGGTGAAAAAATTGCGACTGTATTCGTATGAAGACGCTAAAAGAGACTTTTTAAAAAAACGAGTAAATTAAGACACTCTTTCAAAAACCGACTTCGAGCAATTTTTTTAAAAATTATATTTTTAGAAATTTTACCGATCTCATTGTTTTATATATTTTTATATTTTATCAACAATAAAAGAGACTTGTAAAATGCAGTAAAATGTCATCGGCGACTCGTGTCGTGACAGGATTGGTCAAATCTGGACCAATAGTGGACAAGCAGCTGAACTACTTACACGCTATGGAGAGTTTAGGCGGGTAAGTTGAGTTTACTATCGTCTGTACAGTATATAAATTAGATACTGTAAGTCTAATACAGTACTGTAATTTTATACATTTCTTGTGAAAAAAACATTTCTTATTCAACAGCCATAAAAATTATTTCTATTAATGATGTCTCCAAAGTTCAACGAATTTTTCGCAGAAAAATAACTTATCAGAAAAAGTGCCCGCTGTTTGGTGCACTGCTCTGCGACAAAAATAAGCTTAAGCAATGGCATCATCGAATGGTGCACACTCGGTAAGTAATCCTACAATTTTTTTGTTTATAGCATAGTTTATACGAATTATTCCCAAAAAATTATACGTGTTTTGGAAATGTTGAGTCAAATTAGTCTAGAATCGATTAATTTTATGGAAGAAAACCTTTCAAACAGCTGTAGTCCGTAAACTGCACATGTGCCGGGCTGTGATTGGCTCATGTATTTAAGGATTCCTACAACGTGAAATTCTTATAGAGTGGAACGTATCTACCGCGTTATAGGGGAGTCGACTGTATATGTATTCAACACTTTTCAATTAATCATGTAAAGTGAAATTATGTAATGCAAATTGATTTTTACATTAATAGAATAGTGGTGATACATTCTCAAAATAAAAAATAACTGTAAAGTTTAGAAAGGAATGTATATGTATTTATTTTGTCCTTCAATTGTATGAATAGATCATACTGTCAATGGTTGAAGTGTTATTTATATACAAAATTTTCAACTTATGGTAACAATTTATAGTGTAATCATTGAAATTGAATACAGTAGAGTCTCGAAAACTCAGCACTCGATAACCTGGCAGTCCAGATAACTCGGCCACACCCTGGCAGGGCAAAAACATCTTTAATTAATTAATTTTCATTATAGACAGCTTTATGCCTCATAAAGTATTTTTCTGGAGTCTGTCTTATCAGGTAAATTACTGTACACAGTGTATTCATTAATTTTCATTTTCATGTAGTAAAGGCTGTATGCCTTCATAAAGGACATACTTTTCCTTTGTTTAAGGGTATTTGGGCAGTTTATTCTCTGTTGTATTCTCAAGTAAACAATACATACAAGTACAGTACAGTATTTTCTGAGGAAACGCTCATACTTATTTTTTTTAACCCCATTCCCGATAACCCGGCATTTTCACAAACTTGGCCACCCTTCAGTCCACATTAGGCCGAGTTTTCAAGACTCTACTGTATTATCATAAGTTGAAAAGTATCATATAAAAAATATTTCACTTTTAATATTTTAACTAAATTTCTTATTTTTAGAATGGAATGCTTCAGAAAGTTACTAAAATCATGTTTGCCACTTCTACTACTAGGAATAACTAGGATGCTCATTGTTAAATTTATTGGTTATCATGAACATGTAACTGAGTATGGGATTCATTGGAATTTTTTCATGACTTTGGCTGTGACAAAAGTATGTATTTATGCTTTTTATATATAATTTTGCTAATGACTAGATAAAGTTTCACTAGTCATTAATACATTTCATATGCATATTACAAAAACCATATTTAATTTAAGGATTAATAATGAAAAATGAAATGGTACAGGAATGTATGTTTTGTTATATTAAGCTGAAAAATTTATATATATTTTTTTAAGCCAAAAAAGAAATGTCATGTGTATTTTACTTAATAAAATAAAAAACTAAAACATTCACAAATAGAAGACAAAACCAAAACTTATATCTTTAGTTTCTTCACATTTGTTTTTTTTCATATGGGATGATAAAGTCACATTTTGGAGCTGATATTTATCTTGAGATTGGATATGTAATGTTGTTTACAAATTTTCCTCTAATAATAACTCAATTTAAAAAAAAAATAATTTATTACAAATGACATTCAAAATGAAAAATTTACTTGAAATTCACAAATAAAAAAAACACCCCCAAATATATCTATAAATTTGATTAAAAAATTGCAAAGAGAAATAAATTTTGTAGAATTTAAGAAAAATTCTTATAAATAGACTATATATAAATGTGTCTTTTAACTTTTGTCTTTTTGCATGCACTTTTATGTATTGTCTATTTTTAAGAATTTTTCTTAAATTTTGTAACTAATATATATATTATAATAATATAATGTATATGTGAAGATACTAAAGATATAATTATGTATTTTAGGTATTATCTCTTAATTGTGAATTTCAGATAATTTTATATCCAGGTTTTATTTGTAAAAATCAAATGTTTAATAGATTTTCTTTTGTGTGTGAAACTGTTCAAAAAATGCAAAAAAGAAAAAGACTTTAGAAATAAATTTGAATAGGAAAAACATTTTTAAATTGCTATATTCATCTTTTGTTTCTTCTAAAATTTATTCCAAGTAGTTCTTTTCAAATATAAATAAAATCCATTTTCAGACTTCAAGTATTTCTTGCAAGAGCAATTTTTAAAATTAAACTTGTCTGTTCAGCTGTTAAGAAAAGTTTCTGGCATGTAATATCAATAATTTTTTCCTTCATATATCTATGTGTTTTAATTCTTATCAACAGATTTCAAGAAATGTTTTAATTTTTTGAATTTGAAACATTACAAATGCTTTTTATTTGTTAAAACATGAAATTTCTTAGTTATATTTCAGAGGTATTTAAATTAAACAGTTTTGTACCTAATTACTTTATCTTCTTTGAGCTAAATTTGGTATGAACTCTTCTATTAAATGTTGAAAGTATTTGCATATGTTTGGATTAAACTAAATTAATCAATTAATGCTAAAAGATAGTTTATATATTTAATTGTGTACATTCTAATAAAATTCACAAATGATGAATAAAATAGCAGTTTCTTAACAGGTTTCAGTATCAAAATTAATGTAAATTTGACTTTTTTCTTGACAAATTTATTATTATTATTATTATTATTTGCACTTGATATGCTATGAACACTTCTATTAGGAGAGTTCATAGAATCCTCACTGCATCCTTTCTCATTTAACTTATGGCATATGTTCTGTCTGTCTCTTGCTCTCATATACCTCTGCATAACTGACTTCAAATTAAAAAAATTACTATAACTAAAGGCTATTCTCAGATGAAAATTGCTATTTAACTAAAAATATTTACTGTTGTCATTCATTCCTTCTATGTAAAGAAATTAATTTTCAAAAATAATGTTATTCTTTCTTCCTTTTTATAATTTAATAAATTTTCTGTGTCAATTTTAAAGAATTGGTTAAAAATTTCAATTATGAAAATTTGCTTCTTTTTTCAGATTGTTTGTACAGTAACAATGTTAATTTTTCCATGGTGTAATTGTGGATTACTGTCTGTAGTCATTATAACTATTTATCAATATATGCTAAGTGGTTGCAAGCTGAATAATTACTTATTCAGTGATCAACGAGACAATATTTTTCAAGCCAATAAGGAAGGACTTTATTCACTCCTAGGATACATATCTTTATATTTTGCAGGAGTTGAATTAGGAAAATTCTTTTCCAAATCAAGGTTTGGGTTTTAATATTCATTATATAAATAAAGAATATGATGATGATTTTAAATAAGATTTAAATTTTATTTTTAAAATATTTGATAAGTTATTTTTATAAAATTTAATTCATAGTTATAATGATATTTAAATTAACATGTTTAACATTCAAAACTTACTCATTGCAAAACTTGTAGCTATTAACATTAGTGTACCTCAAAAGATGGACAGATGTGCCATGAATATTATGAAAGTACATTTTAAAAATGAAAAGAAACCAATTTGTACAAAGATTTATTACATCCATGAAAACTGATAGCTGGGTTAAGTATTTAGCATAGCAGTTATTATAGTACACAGCTATTTATAATTTAAAATATACAGTATTAATATATTTTTAATTTTGTGTACAGAGCATAACAGAAAAACTTTTCACATTTTACAGTTCACTGTAAACCAAGAAAGTTTGAGAATCATTGATATACAGTACCAGTTGATTTAGAATCAATTAATTAGGTTTAATTATAAAGTGATTTTAAAAAATAATTTAATAGAAACTTGTTTCTTTGGTTTTGATAAAAATAGTAAGCAGTTAAGAAAATAATTTAGTGTTTGGAAGTTTTAATTTTTTATGACCTCAAATTTTGCTTGTTTAATGTTTAGTAATGAAATATGTATATAAAGATAAATCACCCAAACCAGAATCATGGCTCAGTGCCCAAAAACTAGTATGAAGACTAGAACAAAAGAAGAATGAGAAATTTTTTGGATACCTTGACCAGTGAAGAGAAGCTTTGAGAAGGCAAGATGAGAAGACTTCAAGTTTAATAACAGGAATTGAAAGACTAGAGAAAGAACCTTTTACAAGTTGACAGAATGACTACAAAGAAAGACAGGGCAAAGAAAAGGACAGCCCATGAATATGATGAACCCTATTTGGAACAGATTATTAGAAAAGAAGTGGCTACACAACCCCCAAAAACATATAAGCCAAAAATTCAAATATTTTGGGGCAATAATGACACACTTCAAGTAGAAAATTGGGTGAAGAGATTTGAGACAGTGGTTGAATATATGGGTTGGAACAAAAAGGATAAAATAATGTTAATGGGAGATTATCTGGATGACGAAGCTATAACCTGGTACATTGAATACGGAGATTTAGATCACAAGCCACCAAAACCTATCATGGATTTTTTAAGGTTAAAATAGAATCCTGAAATAGGAATAAAAAATTATTTTAAAGAAAAAAAAAAAGATTAGGGAAGTTATTGCAATTGAATGACTTCCAGATAATACCACTAATGATAGAAAGGTTATCCTGGCAGAATATTTCATAACCATAGGTCCAAAAACTTTTGTGGAATTTTATGAAACAAGTCAGAGAATTGAAGAAACTTTAAAACAAAAATGAATCAATAAATCCACAATGGATAATATTGGTTACAGGAAAGGAGAATTTAATTCAGAACATAAAAAAAACCAAATGCTTGTGTGAAGGTCCGAAACCCTTTTTCTGTTTTAGATCAGTATAAATCTAGGAATTTTCCTAGTAAAAGAGAAAAGGGTGACTTCTACGGTCAATGACCGAGACGCTCTCCTCGAATAAGGAAAAAAAAGGAGAATGTTAAACTATCAATAAGTTAAATCATCTCTATTTGTTTAACAGTTATTCTATAGACGTTAGTATCAACAAGAAGGGAATAAGAGATATTTCTTATCACCTCTTGGTTGCACGTAACACGTGGTTACGGCAATAAATCGCCTTGTTCATAGTCAAACTCGACGTTTGATATAAACAATAACTAAATAGTTGACCAGGTTAAAGAAATTATTGTCAAATGATTGTTAATTTATGGATGAGAGCCATCAAACCTATAGGAATTTATATCATAAAATCATATCATTTTGACACCAATAACAATAAATTAAACAAACTTCGCTGAGTCATTTGTCCGAACTAGTTAGATCCAAATATCAACACACTAGCAGGTGTGCGGATAAATCATGAATAACGTCATAGTTCTCACCCCCTCGAAATCAGTATAAAGAGGGCTCCCGGCCTGTATCGGAGTGGCCTCCAACTTAGAAGGAACTAACGGATTAACGATCCTCATCGCTGACCGCCAAAGACGGACGACACACTTAGATCCTACGAACTACAACTTAGTAAGTAGAACTCTCTCTTTCCTCTCAGGTGGACTAGGGCTAATTCCGCAAAAGAATATTAAATGGGAGCAGAGGCTCTCCTCAGTCGAAATACCCAAGATATAATCCGACTAACCTACTATTATAATATCGGTTTGCTTTGGACATTATTATTATTCTTAGTATTTGTAACCCTTTTATATGGTATATACTAATTAAATTTATATTATATCTTAATCATGTGTGTTTACTCGTACTCTGTCAACACCTTATCGACTTATCCGCGACCTCCCACTCGATTTTCGCCCTCCTAAATTGCCATCCACTGACCCTGTGAGCGGGACTCACCGCCCCGTTGTCGGAAAACGGTTTAGGCTTTGATGCAAAAACCCCGATTCTCACACTTGTAAGATTTGTGAGAGTTTGTGAGCCATTTGAAGGGCCCATTCATTGTGACAAAAGCTGTTTTGTACATATCACAAGCTTCCAATGGAATGTGCCAATAGCCACAACTAATATCTAAAGTTATGAAGTATACACAATTAAACAATTCATCTAACTAAATCTTATTAAACCAAAATAGATTCCATTGAGCTTGAGACTGTCGAAATAAGCAAAAGTCATCTGAACAAAGGAAAAGGTAAATCTCGCTGAAGTAGAAACCAATGACATGGAAACGTATATTACCAACAAAATATTTACAAAATATTAATTTAAACTAATGGACCAACCCAAATATAAACAACCCCCTTATCACTTTCCACTCCATGATCAATGGTGAGAGAATAACAAAGACGATCTATGATAGTGAGGCAAACATCTCTTGTGTTGCTAGTAAAATTACTCATTAACTAAATTTAAAAATCTGGAAACTGGAATAAGAACAAATGCCTAAAGTTCAAAACCATTAATTCAACACAAATGTATTTGGGCCGGGTAATTGTTAATCTAACAATCCATTCAATAACAAAGGAAATAAACTTAAGTGTAGTGAATAATGGCCATTATGATTTGCTAGTAGGCTTAGATCTTATAAACCAATTCAGCTTAAGCCTCAATCAAAGTTATAGAATTTTTCAGTTAAGTGAATTTGGTGAATTAATAGAAGAAATCCAGTCTAATTATTCTTAGGATGAAAATCTAGTCATAACATGTTTAGAGGATAACCCCGACAAACTTAAGTTAAACCTAAATGATATAATTGAAAACTTAAAACCAATAGGACTAGAGAAGCTACATTGACCTGAGTTGACAAAAGAACAAAGTATGGAACTAGAACAATGTTTAATGAAAAGATCAAATGCATTTTCAAGGGATAAATATGACATTGATTCTATAAAAGTTGAGAATTGTAGGATTGAATTGACTAATAATATCCTGATAAACTTGAAATTGTATTGTTGTTTCTTAAGTGATCAAAAAATAATAAATGATCACATAGAAATGTTGTTAAAACATGAATTTATTTGGAGATCAGTGAGCCCATATGCTTTCCCAGTGATGTTAGCTGATAAAAAGGATGAAGGAAAAAAAGCCAGTCTGTGCATTGATTACAGAAAATTTAACCAAGTGACAATAACTGGTAACTATCCCTTCCCTAGGATTGATGTATTTAGATAAATTGTTTAATTGTGTACACTTCACAACTTTAGATATTAATTCTGGCTATTGGCATATTCCAGTGGAAGCTTGTGATACAAAATAGCTTTTGTCAAAACGAATGGTTACTTCAAATGGTTCATCATATCTCTTGGTTATATAAATACATCAGCCATATTTCAAAGAATAATTTACACCATTTTAGATCAGTACCAATTGACTAACTTCTGTAACAATTATCTGGATGATATCATAATATATTCAACTTGTTTTGAAGTCCATCTTAAACATATTAAACTAGTCCTAAATGCTCTAGAAAATTAGGGTGTAAAACTAAAATTATCAAAATGCAAATTTGTGAGGAAAGAAGCACATCATTACCTTGGTCATATCATCTCAAAATACTGAGTTTGCCCAGTAAGTGACAATGTTGCAGCAATTAAGGAATTTCCTAAGCCTAACTAATGATGTAAAAATCTTACAGAAGTTTTTGCAAAAAGTAAACTATTATTATCATTTTGTAACCAATGCCCCAAAATTCTTGAATCCATTACACAGTTTATTAAAGAAGAATAGGAAATTTATTTGGGATCCAGAGTGCCAAAATGCCTTTGACAACATTAAAATGTATCTAACAAGTTTCCTAGTTCTGTGCTTCTTTAAACTAGACAAAACATTCTATCTATATACAGATGCCAGTAAACTTGGAATAGGGGCAGTACTAAAACAAACTCAAGACAATGGAAAACAACATCCAATTGGTTATTTTTTAAAAAACTATTGAATTACCAAAAAAATTATGGTATTACAGAACTAGAATGACTAGCTATATTAGAAGCAATCAACTATTGGTACCATTATCTTTATGGGAAAAAATTTACAGTTTACAGTAATAATGGATCATTATGCCTTAAAATGGTTGCAGTCTTAAGAAACCAAACTTGAGATTATTTAATTGGTCATTACATCTTAGTCAATATGATTTTGACATTAAATAAAGTCCTGGTACTACTAACATAGAAACTGAAGCTTACCTACCATCCAGAAATCCAGTGTTAGATAGTGGTCTCATGTCAGACAATGTCAAAAGTGTGAATTTAATTGAAAGAGAAGCCATTGTGTCAGCACAAAAGCAAGAACTAACAATTGGAAATTACCATAAATGAAAGGACTTAATCATAAAAATAAAGGAAATCAAAAGAGAATCATGATACCAAAGTCCTTTAAATTCAGACTGCTGAAAGAAAGCCATGAAAAATTTGGACACCTAGGAGCAAAGACAATGTTACAACTAATATCTAGCATGTACAAATTTTTTATCAACTGTTGCAAATGAGTAACTTGTTTCAATTTTTTAGTAGTAGATGCACAACCATCAAGAGGGGAGCTGGAGACTTTTCCCTGGGTCCAGAAAAAATTAATTGTTCATAGTAGTTACTACTACTACAAATTAAACTTATTTTTACTAACAAAAACTAAAATCTTTAAGAGTGAATTTTATTAATAAACATTCTACATATTTAATTTGTTCAAAAAAGTGCAAAATGAGCCCACTCTTCTATTTCAAGGCCCGTGCAAATGTTCAATATTTTTTGTTTTTTTTTTTTGGTCCTATTTTTGGTCTAATTTTATTTTGACTTGTTTGTCCCTTTTTCTAATTTGAAGATTACAAGAATTTACTCAGTGAATGGGGCTGATTTTTACATAGATACCCTATATAAGATGGTTTTGGGATATTTATTTTATCTTCATTCTTTATAGAATTAGTAATTTTTTAATTAAGTTTGAAACCAATAATGGTATATTAAACATATTTTTCATTGTCTAATTAACTCATGTTTTCATTAAATTTTCTTTGACATTATTATAGCTAATTTAGTATCTTAATTTTCAAAAATTTATGAATTCTTAAAACAATATTCTCTATTATCAATTTTAATTAATTTTTCATATTGATCTTATAGAAATACATTACAAGAATGGTTAAAAGTTTTACTTACCATTTGGATATTGAATGTTATTCTTTGGATATTCATGAAAGATGTTAGTCATAGCATTGAACAAGTATCAAGGAGAACTGCCAATTTACCTTACTGCTTATGGATGGTAAGATTTTATATGCAAAATAATTTTAGGTATAAATGTAATTGACTTACATTGAAAAATATATGATATTTTTTAAAATAATGTCTCAGACCATTAAGTAAAAAGTTAGATTTTGAAATATTTCAAAATGTGTAAACATTAAGTAAGTAAAACTTATGTGATTATTTTCTCAAGTAAAAAATGAGTGAATAAATAAAATCTCTGCTTTATTTTAAACATATGAATAGTTACTTTAATATATAGATTAATGGTTCCCAAAGTGGGTGCTACTAAATCTAGGGGGTGAAAAGAAGCAAGGTGGCAGCAGGAAGCATTGGAGGCAGGACTTGAATGGTGACTATTGACAAGGGTTTGGGTCATTGACAACTTTTCTCTTTCCTCCTCTAAAACGATAAGAAGAAACATTGCATTTATTAGTTTCCAGATGTTGACAACAATGTACAGTATAGACACTGTGAAGTTCATAGAAAAACTTTTCTAAGAATTTTTCCAAGCCTTTCTCATACAAGGGAAAAAGGTTGGAGATGTTTGGTATAAGTTTATGGAACCAAGGGGTGGTGGCTTGAAAAAGTTTGGAATCACTGATAAGTATCAATTATATTGAAGCAATATATAAAATCTATATGATCAATCTTATGAATATACAGACTTACAGCAGTAATTTCTGTTGAGAATATATAAATTGATCATAATGTCCACTTTTTAAAAAAACACATTTTAACTCTTAAAAGATTTTTATTAAGTTTAGATAAGGAGAGTTAATGGTTACTTTATTTAATAACTGTAATCTTTAAAAATATTTTTCTATGAACATAACATGTACAGAACATTCCATGAACATATATTAGTATTCCTGAATTGTCAATCCAAGTTAATTGAAAGTAAATTTATCTGTAGAAATACATGTATGGAGTTCTCATGCAAATCCTGTTGCAATCTCTTCAGCTAAATCTGGAATTAGAGATATGTAGATCAGTTTATTCACTGGATATAATCCACCCTTGAAATAATTAAACAATCATATCCATAATGTTTCTTTCTCTGATTTTAGAGAGTAATAGAAGGTTCCTGATTCTTTTCAAATCAAATTCTCTGATTTACAGATTTAATCTTGACCATTTAATCTTGACCATTTTGTTATAAGTAATAGAATCTCTCCATACTATATTGCAAGTTTGCACTGATCTCTACTTCTAAAAATAATTCAGGTCACAGATTATTTATTTCTTACATTTGTAAGCAATGTAAAGAAATTTATTGTAACTGGGATTGGCTATTCATTCCATTTGTTAAACAATGCCAAATGGCATGAAATAGCCACCCTCAATTACAACAAAGATAGAAAATAGAATCAAAATATACAATAAAAGCAAATACATAAATATCTTTAGAAAGATGTTTTTTTAACTTTATAAATTATTTCTACAGATTTTGTTACTTTCCTGACTGTTATATATAACAGAGGGAAAGTATGGCAATCAATCAGAAAATGCCCCCACCAATATTTTAACATTCTTGGGCTCAGAACACCTTGAAACATCAAGAAATGCAAAAAATTTGGGAGTTTTTTCTGTATGTATGGATGTTAGTGTTTGTGGAGAGCACAATTTTGTTTGCCCTCTTTAAAGCTTAATAACTCCTGTGTTTTTTGTTAAGAATTTCCGAAATTTTGCAGAGAGGTTTGTTTATAAGGGAAATTGATGTTATTAAATTTTGGTGATTAAAGTTCGAAGGGATGGGGAGATAGAAGGTCCTATGTACAGTATCTCTAGTAGAGTCAGACTAAATGACAATTTTACTTGTTATCAGTATTTACAACTTTTTTAAAACCCAGCCCTATCCTCAAAATTAAGCTTTTTGCCATTTTATAATAGTTAAAAATATAAAAAGTTTTTAAATAAAATTAGTAATGGGACGATACCAAAATTTCTCATGATTCTGATTCTTTTGAATACTTTCTAAATTTTATTTTAGTTTAGAAAAATTAATGATTTACATTACAAGCATGGTACATTTATTAATTAATAAACATCAACCTTAAGAATGGAAAATGATTGGGAAATCCAGAATCAGCTTTTTGTAATAATTATGAAAATCTACTTATATATGGATACTATTATGTATTATATTTTATTATATACTATAAAATAAATTTGTAATCTTATTTTGGATAAAGTTAATATTGCAACACTACACCCAAAAAAATCATAGCTAATTCCCTTTTACACAACAAACTATCCTTTCATGTTATCTTTGGAAACTGCTTTGTTGGCCGACGTGATGACAGGGGGAAGGAATAGTAAATGAGAAGATACACTTTTTTCACAAAGGGGTATCTCTCATAAATGATTTAACCCCATCGTATTTAAATGAAGTTTGGCAAATGATGCAACAAGCCGAATGATATAGTATGAGTCGTCACGAGTTAGCCGATTTTTGAATTCATTCACTTGAGCCATGAATATTTAAATCAATTTTTAAAACTCAAAATGGCAGTATACTTAGCTCAAGCATGTATTTTTACTCAGAAATGCACAAATTGCATTTGAAAATTTAATGTATACCACATCATCTGTGAATCACAACAAAAACTTTCATAATTATAATGAGAAAGTAGTTTTATCATTATAAGTAAACATAATAAATATTAAAAATAATTATATATTTTATTAATAATTATATAATATTTTTCAATTAAAATATAATTGTTTACATTTTAGAACATTTCGCCAGCCTCAATTTGAAACTCGATAGCTCAAAAGTTCAAGCAAAGTTAACTCACTTATAATTAATTTTAAAAAGCAAGCAAATTTGAAATAAAAAATTAATGAAATTACTAAAACATAATCAAATTTAAATTAATCTTTTGTTTGAAACAACATTAAAACAATTTCTATAGTTATGTCACATGAAAAAAATAATTGTAATTAATTGAAAAAATTGTAATGGAGGATTCAATAAATCTAGGCAAAATTAAATAAATAAAAATTATTAAAAATAATAATTAAAGCTCTCGCCTTTACACCAAAACTAAAACTAAAAGTTAAATCAAATTAATTTTAAAATTTACATTATTTGTGTGCTGCGGTGATGAAACATTTTGCTTTTAATATTTATATAGATATACAGAATACAGATTGCTGGCTGGATGGCAACCTTAAAGTCACCCTATCTTCCCTAAAATGGGGACAGTTAGAACCAGCTGAGTGCAATGTCTTGTCACTCTGACTGTGCAAAAGAAAAGTCCTCTGTGACAAACATCACTGCCTATATGGGCCATTATGTACTTTCTGCTTTATCAATGTGAAAGTTTCCAATAAACTAATATTTAATTGTTAATATCATAAATTTAAAAATTTCTAATCTTTGAAACAAATAAGTGTCTTATAAAATGTGGAAGAATTGTTTTTAAGAATTGGAAATTGTGACAAGATTTCCTTGATTCCAATATCTGGAAAATGTCCAATTTTTCTGATTTTGATTAATCGTCCTATCACTAAATAAAATATCATCATAGATGGCACCATCAAATGTTGCCAGAAAAGTTAAACAACTCATTGCTGGATTTTTTTATTCTGAAATATTAGTTAATGCACAATAAAAAAAAATATCCATGGAAAATAGAAAATCTATAATCTCAATATGTAACCAATTCAAACGTCATTATTTTCTAGGAATTATCACATCCATGGACTGTAATTACTAGCTAATCAACCATTTATCTCTTTTCCTCATTGTAATTATCCTTCTTGATATTTCCCATTTTAATTACATTTACCATTTGTGAAATTTTTGCATTTTTGGTTCTTGTCCTTGCTATGTAAATTAATATTGGGTGTATTAAACTGTTATAAATTCTTATCTTTGTAAGCAATGGAATCACGTTTTTACCTAATATTATTCTCTTATATAAAATTTTTGAAAGATGTTCCAAGAAGTTTTCATTTAAAAGTTAATATGTAATGCTATTTTTTTAATGTTAATATGATAAATGTTTTAAACTTGTTGACATTATAAACAAATGATTTTATTTATTTTTTTCCAGATATGTTTCACACTTATTCTTCTTGGAATTTATTTAAGTAATTATATTATTTTTGAAGGTATAATGAATTTTACAGAAAGTCCTGTTATAAAAAGATGTCCAATAATTCTATGGAATTCAATGAATAAATATGCTTTATTTTATTTTCTATATGGAAATGTTCTTACAGGCATAATTAACTTAACTATTCAAACAATATATTTATCAAGAACAACTTCTTTAATAATTATTATAGGATATATAATAATAATATCAATATCTACTGTTGTTTTACATATGTATTCCACTAAGTTCAAAAATAAGATTAAATAACATTTTAAAATTATTTTTTATAACAAAATACATTACATGTATATAATCCAGTTATGTGATATTATTTATTGAAATTCATATAAAATGTATGTGCTTTTGATATTAAAAATGAAAGGATTTATTTACAAAAATGTGCTTTTTGAATATTTTCGATCTTGTTATGTAATTTCAAAGCAGGACCAAGCGGCAAATTGAGTCCCGTTAGAATGTCATTCCGTTTTAATAATAATAAAGATCTGCCATCTATTTCCTAATAGAAAAGTCATCTAATTATATCATTAAAATAAAATAAACATATATTTTAATTAATTAATCAGTCTGTAATAATATACTAATATTTAATATATATTACAATTCATGGAAGAATGTGAAATTAAATTACAGGGTATTCATTTATCATGAAACCTATGAGTCATTACTTATTTATAATTTATAAGGTAATATTTAAAACTTTTAATTTTGTAAGATAAATACAATTCAATTTTATACCTAGTTTTACTTTAATAATAGATTATGTTAATCTAGATCAGTGATATTTTTACAAACTTAACTCTAGATTTTTTGGTTATTCTATTAACATAATTATAAATTCAAAATAATTTTTTATAGTGATAAATATTTGTCAGAAATAATAACATTTCCAATAACATAATTTTTAACCTTTTCTTACAAGTTAGTTTTTTGAAAATAAAATTTAATGAGAAAGATTTTATAGATAAATATTTGAAAATCAATGATTTACAGTCAACCCCCTTATAATACTGTTGATTTTTCCATTTTATATGAATACCATGTTGTATGAGTCACTTAGATTTTACAAATACGTGTGCTGGGCTGTGAACGGCTCACATATTTGTAAAATCTAAGTGACTCGACAACATGGAATTCATATAAAATGGAAAAATCAACAGTGTTATAGGCTGGGGTCGACTGTACTTAATGTTTCAACTATATGAATATAGTACTTCCCCATGTAGAATGTTGGAAGACTCATTGTTTAAGAATACAGTTCATAATCCATTGATTGGGAAACAATGATCAAGATCAGTAGTATTTAAATTGTGTTATACATAACTGAAGTTCTAAAGGGTATTTTCAGAAATTTTACAAACACAATTAGTTTATAATAAAATTGTTATTTTGTTTTTCAGTTAAGTGAATTTGGTGAATTAATAGANTGATTTTTTAAACAATGTCATTTATTATTATTTTAAATTAAAAGTAAAGATTATAAAGTAACATCATATACATTCATAATTCAGTATATATAAACATTATATACTGAATTATTGGGCTATTTTAAGGCTAATTTTAATAATTAAAGTAACAGATTTTAAAAACTTGTTTTCAATTTTTTGTAATTAAGTCATTTTCACTGTGAAAGTCTATGAAAATTAGATTTAATAAGAAAAATTTCCATGAATGTTGAAAAATGAGTGTGCTAGATTATAAATTTAGAATATATTATAATATTAAAAAGCCTTTAAAATGCTTTAAAAGAATATCAATTGAAAAACTTTTGAATAATAAATCAAAATAAGGAAAACATTTTCCAAATCAATTCACTTAGGCTAACTTATTTTGATTTTTAAAAATAACCTTTAAAAATGATAAATAAATAAAATATGTATATAATTTTTTAACCTTTATAAATAAAACATCAAAATTTTAATGTAAATAACAGAAAAATTATGGAAGTTTGAATGTTTTAACATGAATAATTTTTTGTATTTTGAAATAATTTCAATATTCTTCAATTAATGATCTTAAAAATTCTTTTGAAGATAAAATTTCAAAAATATAACTTTCCAATAAATACTTACTTTAATAAACTTTTAAACAATCAAAATAAATTAGTATTGAAATAAATAACAAATGTTAATTTAGTCTTAGGAAGGAAAACATTTTTATTACTTCATCACAAATTAATAATAACAACCTGGATGGTTAATCAATTAATGAATATTTATTTATTCATTTTCTATAGCTGTGGTTTTCAATCCCTGGTCTGCGGAACACTAGTGCTCTGTGAAGCCGCTTCAAGTGTTCAAATATACAATTGAAAAGTGTTTCAAAAGAAAAATTAATACAATGTAAAATAATTTTTGTATGTGAATATAATCAGCAAATGCCAATGACGTCAATGACCGAGTGAGCTCTTGATTTCAAAAACGTTTGTCACCCCTGCTTTAAAGCTGATGTATTTAAAGTGTTCTGCGGAAAAAAATGTCAAAATGTTCCCCAATTTCAAAAAGATTGAAAACCACGGTTCTATAGTATTAACATTTTTCAGGCCCAGGAAAATTGCGTAGTTTAGTAATTTATGTTTAAAATATTCTTTCGGAGTATATTGATAAAATATTCATATAAAAGTTTTATTACTAGTTTTTAAACATTTTTCTTTTTCATAATTTTTCCATGAATAATTTTTAATTTTTAAAATTTAAACATATATAACTTTTTTACTTTTTATAATATTTAGTTAATTGTATGTGCTAGTTTATACTCTGATATCTATTTTTGTATATAAGTTATTTTTTAATATACTACAACAACTATGTTTCAGCCTCAATCCAACTTTTCTTCCGTAATAATCCATCCTTGAAAATTTGGCGGAAAAGTGAATTTAACCACACAATATAATTTTCATATTTTTGAAGTGTAAAATTATTTTGTAATTACAGATTCATCTATTTATATTATGTATAAACTATGACACATCATATATTACGATCGTATTATTATTTTTCGTTTATCTCTTAACTCTTAATTATTGTCACATAAATACTATTAAGGAGTCTTTCATATTCTTTTTCCATTTCCATTCTTTCAGAATAGTAACAAAAGCTTTATTTTTTTCATATGCTTCATACATTCATGTAGAAATATTATAATGTAAAAAGCAAGGTTTTAAACCACAATAAATGAAATTATAATAATAAGTTTTTCAAAAAACCTTCTCTCACTGTACTCTCTCTAGTTTCATTGAATATCTGAGCAAGAAAAGTACATTTTCAGAATATTATTACATAAATCATTTGACAAGATCAGTGATGTTCAAAAAATGTTTTATTCTTCATTCAGCACTTTCTTTAGAAACACTGTTAGTACACCATCTGGAACATGTTAGGCAAATTGGTGCCCCATATTTTTGACATGACAGTATTATGTTCACTGTCAACTGGATATACCATGTCACTATCACTGTCATTGACATTTGTCTCCTCGAATAATTTGCTATTTCCTTCTCAGTAAATCAAGGCTGTCATGCTGATACATTGATCAATTTTGTTCTTTCTGGTTTGCTTAGGCCGAGAAGGGGCAGATAGTGCATCCATAGTGATCAGTAGTCACCGGTCTAAGTGCAGACAATACTGGGTTACTATCACAATACATTCACAAACAACACAGCATGCAAATCCTCTGAATAAAGAGAAAAATGTTGTGTAAATACTATCAGGTATCTAAAAGACACAGGCAGAACTTTGTAGCAACGTAACTCACATAGCAGGGATTAAATATGCACGCTGTAAACATGCTATGCTCTGCAGTGACCAATTGAAAGATACATGGACTAGGAGGAGTGGGGAAATTGCCAGGGATTGTAGTGTGAACAAATGCCTGAGAGACACCAGATAGTACTTTGGGTTAAGAATACTGTACTGTTTTATGTTAAGCGAGAATGTAAATAAACATGATCTGAGTAGCAGAGTAGACACTATTGTTGAGTGATTTATTGTGCTGGGCGGCATTCATCAGGGATTAATTAACTAATATGAAAATATTTTAAAATACGTTCATGTTAATACATTTATCATCAATTCAATATCCAAAACAAGTAGAAATATTCTCTCTGTTTTATATTTTATAACATGTATAAAAATGAGTTTATTTTGGTAATTTTATTTAATTTTACTTTTTGTAATGCTAGTTGACTTTTAAAACAAAAATAAAAACTGTAAGAACTCTGTGTCAAAGAAGCTGATGCATTTTATAATCATTTGTAAAAGTTAATATTATATATCAGAGTTTCTCAAACTTTTTGCTCGTGCAGCCCAATTTATTTGATTGTAATGGTTCCCCCACCCAAATGTTTAATATAAAATTTTTTAAAAACCTGGTAAACTACAGTCACTGTATATTATATAACAAAATAAAATTATGCATTATTGATGATAACTTCTACATGTGAAATGTGACATTGAGTACAATCTATTAAGAGCAGTTCGGGCCAATTTTGATTTGTAACAAATAACTTGCTTCAATTTCAGTTTTAATATTGAAATTTAATTATTAAAACATAAGACTGGTGATTGTAAATAAAACAGACTGTTTTAAAAGTCTATAGCATCATTGTAAAACAAATAACGAATGATAACATGGAAAGATGTTTTATAATAAACCAGAAATGGTGTAATTTCAAACAAGCATAATTATATGACAAAAGGTTTTATTAAAAATAATTTAATTGCATAGAAAGCGAGGCATATCGATTTCATAGTAATTGGAACGATCCATTGGGAAGGTGTTAATGTTACATACACTTAAATATACAATACTATTTAACATTATTTAGAAATAAATATTAGATTATTTGAACAGAGTTTATTCAGTTAATTTTGAAATTTATAAGTTTAGTAAAATTACACATTCGGGTATTAAATTTAGTAATTCAGAGGATGAATACACTAATGATAAAATTTTAAAATTAAGCATATTTTAATTGTTTAATATGGAATGATCTACTGCAAGTGTTTATTAATTTAAATAATTTTTTACTTTTTCCAATTAAATATACCTGATATTTAAAACTGTTTGCAACTTCAGAAAATCCAAGATCATTGATAAATTTTTCCACATGTTCTACAGTCCAATTCTTTATATCCATATATTCAGAATAAGAATTGCTGTAAATAAAATTTTATATTTTAATTAAAATCAATACTTGATACAGTACCAATAAAGCGATTTTCTTAATTTAGATTAAAATGAAAATTTTTTTATTATGATACATAATCATTAAGACACAGATTATCTTAATGAAAAAAAAGGATCTTAAAAGATTTTAATAAATTATTTAAAATAATTTTAAATGAAAAATAGAATATTAATTATTACATTAACCTTATTAAGATTAAGATATTTGAATATTGAATACATCTAAATTAATTAATTAAGTAATTAAATTTTTTCGTCTTTTATATGATAAACAGTAATTTGAAAATACAGATTTTATTGTATTTTTCTCCATCTAAGAAATGAATCTATTGCTTTATTAGTTATCAGTGCATTAATTAATGGGCAACCCTAATCTACAAAAAGTGGATGATTAGGATCAGTGTACACGATGGGGAAGGGGTCCAGGCATTGTTTATGTACATTGTTTTTACATGTACAGTACCGTAAACCCTCCCATTATCCGAGGTAATGTGGACCGATGCTATCTCGGAACACTCAGATAAAATTACGAATATAAAAGATTTAGATGGTGTATCACTTTTAAACCTATTTTCATATATCAGTGAAATTAATTATATAGAAGAAAAATTTTTACATCACACATCTAATACGTACAGTACAATAGTTTTAAGAATAAAAATATGTTATTGTAGTTACATTTTAATATGAGTTGTTTGTCTCGCATTGAAGTTAAATAATAAAAGGTATATAAACAATTCATTTCATAATACAGATATCCCTGTATAATACGGTAGTTAGGTTCAGAAAACGTGCCGTGTTATGCGTTTTCGTGCTGTAAAAAACAAAGGACCAGTGCAAAACATGAGTTAGGTTCCAAAAATTAGTAAAGGTATACTATACTTTTTCGTAATGAAGAGAAATATATTTATTAAAGCAATCAATAATTAACTAACAATCAAAAGTATTGCATGTTAATATTTTTTCTTCAATTCTGAACGTTTTGCCAAAAATTAAACGTTTAATTTTTGGCAAAACGTCGTCTTCTGAGCCTTCCTGTTGAAGTATCTGCAACATTTTGATTTTGCTTTGCTTTTTTCATAAAATTTGATATTTTCATTTGCTTGCGTTTGCTAAGAGATCTTTAAAAATTTAATTATTTTATGCAGTAACTTTGTTGATGTGTTTTGTTTTTATAGTTTTTCGGGTTCATTTAGAGTGCAATTGCCGACGATGGCGACACCTGGTTTATAGGAAAGCTAGGAAGCTAAGGACAAGGAAGAAGAAAAATTGTACAGTCATCTCTCGTTAAAGAAAACTGGTTGAAAGGCACTAAACGAGATTGAAAGTTTCAATATTCTAAAATCCGTGGACAAATATGATACAACATACATGCATTCTTGCTTCAATTAAATAATATGGTATAACGGAATTTGTGCTTAAAAATTGTGACGTTTTGTACTGGGATGTCTCCAATTCTCGAACCGTATTAAAGCGAAATCATGTTGTAGGAATGTCGTGTTATGCTAGGGATACCTTTACATATTATTGTTTTAAACTATCGTTTATCGTTCTTTTATGAATTACAGTTTACGAAAAATACTGTATTCACTTCCAGATTAGTCTCGGGTTCTACTATATTAGTGGCATACGAATTCGTTCCTATAAACCTACTTACTACAGTAGTTATGTGAATAAACTAACAATCAGAAAACATTTGCAGGACTTTTTGTCATTTCTTCAATGTCAGAGAGTCTATGAATATTGTACACGCAATTAAACAGAAGTTTGCCTGAAAGCGTATAACTGTACACAATAGAGAATCAAAACTGACGGCTCAAAAACTGCACGAAATTAATGGGAGTTCCTTAACTTCATTTCCTTTCATTTAACTAAGTCAATCGTTTATTTCGCTAAGAAGAATCCCGCATAATTATAAAATTAATAATTTGTCAGCAACTATATTGAAATAATTTCTGCCAATCTCATAAAACAATATACTGTAATTTAATTAATACAAAGTACTGCAGAGCAGCCCTACAAATGTGTAGAGCTTACAGGACGACACCCACGGACGCGCTACTGGTTCTCGCAGGTATACAGCCAATACACCTCACAGCCAAGGCACTCACATGGAAGTGGTACCTTTCCAAAGGAGACATCACACAATGGACAGATCAAGGAAAGGCCAATAACAGGAAGGAGGAGAAAATTCCAGCTAATTGTGATGATTTAATAGACAAAATAAAATGCCACGGGATAGATGACTACGAAAGCGGGAGGAACTATTTCCACCCAGCTGACGAAACACACTACAATGTTGACCTACAGTTTGAGGGAATAGAAAACACACCAAGTGATTGGGCTGTCTACACAGATGGGTCTAAACAGGAAAGGGGAGTGGGTGCGGGAGTGGCCATATTTGCACGAAATGGCCGGAAGACCTTCCAAGCACACCTCAAGATGGCACCTTACTGCAGTGTCATGCAGGCTGAACTTTGGGCAATGCACAAGGCCCTAACTCACATAGCCACTAACATCAATTATTACAAAGGGATAATAAATATTTACACTGACAGCAGGGCAGTGCTGCACACACTTGAGAACAAAAGGAGAGCCACACGACTAGGAAGAGAACTAATAAACACCGCAAACTCTCTTGCTATGCATAGAATCATCCACTTCAACTGGATTCCGGCCCACAAAGGTTATGGAGGGAACGAAACAGTGGACCTGCTGGCCAAAAAGGCTTGCGTACTCCACTCCCCCCACACCTACTCACGCATACCGATGACGATGATCTGGGAGAAAATAAACTCAATCACAAACACCCTATGGCAGATTGAATGGGACAACTCCAAGACGGGAAGACTCTGCCATAGATTTATACCAACTCTAACGGCAAGGAAAAAAGCCCATCACTTTGAACCCGATCCAGACATGACCCAATGCCTAACGGGTCATGGGAAATTTCAGTCTTACCTTTACCGCTTTAAAAAACGCACGGACAATAAATGTGACTGTGAACTTAAAAGTGAGGGAGACGCCGAACATTTTATGTTCCACTGCCCTAAATTCCACCAGCATAGAGCAGAATTTTTTAGGGACACCATCACAAGTGGACTAACATGGCCACCACAGCTGGCAGACATCTTTGCCACCAAACGACTGTGGTGCAGCCTTCAAACATTCGTCAAGAAAACAAAAGAACTAAAACCGGACTACCTCAAAAAACAGCAACAAACACCGAATGACAATAGTCCAATCCACCAAACATCGGAAAGTGAAACAGACGAAGATAACAAGGACGGTTCCTGATCGTATATGCCATGTACAGTACATATAACTTCCCCTGTTTTACATTAATTAATTGCTCGATATTACCTTATATAAATTGTAAACATTAACCCTGAATACTGTTTGTATTGCCGCGCCATTTTGTTTATATGGTTTTCATGCTATTATTGGACCTTGTAACCATATTTTGATTTACTTAGTGTGTTGAGGCGTTTCGGGCGCCCATGGAACCCATGGTCACTTCCTTCCTCTCTCCTATCTATCTAACTTCCTCTTGCTGCTTATCATCTTACCTTCGAACCTTCTTTCCGTTTCCTATCTAAACGAGCTAAGTCAGTCAGCTAAAAGACCGACAGCTCTCTCACCCTCTTTTACAAATTACAAATTATAAATTACAAATACAAAGTACTGTATAATCAATAATTTTCCGGACTAATAACAGTATACAAAAGGCATTATTATGTAGCAACAGTCAACATGAAGCAGTATGCAAATCTTGTGCCGTCTATGCGAGGCCCTACACCGAAAATGTCTGGAGCTATGGGCAGCAAAAATTTGGAGTTGCTGCGCGATAATGCCTCAGCACATCGCTTCACCCTTATCCAGCAGGAGCTAGCAAAACACGACACAAAACACTTTCTCATCTCTCTATTCTACTACTGTTTCTTTATTTCAAAGGTGCGCTTTCACTAAACTGTTTAGCAGTTCGAATGAAGTTATTAAAGAGTCAACGGTGGCACTCCGATGTGTCCCGAAAATTGGCCAAAGTGTTTCTTAGCCGAGGGGAATTATTTTGAAGAGGAGCGTGTTAAAAGTTACGTTTATTTCCTTTTGCATATTGTCGTTAGTCCGGAAAATTATTGGCATTACATCATAAATTTAACTTAATGCATCATTTTGAAAAACTACAAAAAGTAAAATTTAAATTACCATTTTGATTGGAAACTTGAAAGAAATTCTTGGTTTGATTCTGAAAGATCAATACTTGAATATATGAATGAATCAGATTGATAGTTTATTATATTATCGTCTAAATTACAAATAAATAATATCAATAAATGTTTATGATAAAAAAATTTATTAACATAAATTTTATAATAATTTGAAATCCAATTAAACGACAATCTTCAAAATATAACAGAGATCAAATTTAAACGATCGGTATTTAACGGAAATAATATCAACAGATGGAGATGTATTTATATTCTTAGTTTAATTTATAAATAAGGAAAAATATTAAAAAAAACTAGTATACAGAGGTGCCTCGTACTTCAAATTTAATTCATTCCAGGAAGCAATTCGAACTACGAATCAATTTTTTCCATTAGAAATATTTCTAATGGAAAAATTATCCTTGAATTATTTGTAAAAAATTAATTATTCAGATCAATTTTAATTAGACACCCTGAAGTATCAATATTAAGAGAATTCATCCGTCATCATTTTACACGAGTACAGTACACCTTTTTCGCAAAAACACCTTATAATGAATTCAAATAGTATTAAAGAAAAGAATTTTTACCTGTCATTTTATAAAACTATGATAATAAATAATAATTTATATTTCTATTCTGTCTACGAATCAATGTACAATGAGAATTGCATTATCAAATAAATGTTCTTCAATTCATTAAGAATTTAATTGTCTGATATTACTGATTCATCATTTCCCATTTCATAGTAATTTTTGAATCGCATATTCTAAAGGAAGAATGATTTACAAGTAACAAGTAATTAGCGAATAATCAGTTTCCTCCTATATACAGTACATACCTTGTATTTTCTATTTTGTAAAAGATCTTATTCATTCTATAGATCTATACTTTGCCTTGATTGATTCATCTATTTATTTTTGCTAAAAGAACACGAAATCTGATATTAAGTGAAAGCTTTTATTAAAGATAAAATTTCATCTCAAAAATTCATTTAAATTGAACCAAAAAAAATAATTATGATAAAAGTGGCTAACTAAATTGATTCGGTATTTAATTCCTGCGTTAGTGATTTATTGAGACCAAAATTCTCAAAATAAATAAAATAAAATAAATAGTAATAATTCAGCTGAAAGAGTTGATTTAAAAACCTGATGGTGGCCTATGGCAGTAAGCTGAAAACATTTGTTAATAAAAAATTCCCTCGGGTGTTGTGGTAAGTTTGTAACAACTATTGACGTTTATGTTTTTTTTTTTTTAAGTTTGTAAATAAAACAAGTATATCAATTTCAAAATATCAAGACAAATAACATAAGAATAAATACTTTTATTACTTACTTTCATATACTAACTACAATTTGTTTTAACTGAACTATTGAATTTTTAATATAACNGTAAAAATATATTCTTCTTTCATTGTGATCATAATTTTATTATCGTTATAAATACAGTACATACAGACGAGCATCTGTAGTCATTTTAAAAATGCATAAGCTGACAGTAATAACGTCACCAAAAAAATTAGCAATAGAAAAAGTAAGTTTACTCATGTATTGAGAATGTTTGCAGTAGGGAGGAATCGATAATTATAAACGCGGATTGCAAAGTAAGTAGACGTTAGTATGAAATCTACATTATCGAATGCAGCCCAAGTCTTGAAGCAGTTACATAACAATTAGGTCAGAGGCCCTTTGTATGACTATAAGCAAGATCTTGTACAATCAATATTAAAGGTATTACTTTAATTGAGTAAAATCTTGGAACTGGTACAAGTTTGTTTCTCATGAAGCAAAGAGAAACGTTTTATGGCTACGAAAGATACAAATGTGCTAACTTCCGGCTATGTGAATATAATATACAGTGGTACCTCAGGAAGAAAGCTAATTAAAAATTAGTGGAATGACATTACAAAGAAAATAATTTTATATTTCTTATTTTTAGTATAATTTAGTAGATTTTAAAGGAAAATTCGTAATGAAATTAGTGATCATTTACGTTTGATATTCTTAATAAATTGATTAGACTTCACTTTTAACAAATGTAACGAACTTCTGTTCCTGTATTCTGCAACGGATTTCGATAATTCGAGTAACCGTTACATAACTAATGTTTTTCTAACATAATTTTTGTTACAAATTTTTAATAGTGTGTTGTTTTAATTTTAGTTTATTTTTGCAAAAAAGTGAAGATTTTTACGTTTACGAAACTATTATTATTATTTTTTTTTTTAAATCGAAACAGTCATATATAGTACAGTAGAACCTCGAAAACTCGTCCCTCGATAACTTAGCACTCCGGATAACTGGTCCACACCTTGGCAGGGCGAAAAAATCCTTAGTTAATTAATTTTCATTATAGACAGCTTTATAAAAGTATAAAAGCTCTCATAAAGTATTTTTCTGAGGTCTGTCTTATCAGGTAAATTACTGTACACAGTGTATTCATTAATTTTCATTTTCATGTAGTGGCTCTATGCCTTCATAAAGGACGTACTTTTCCTTTGTTTAAGGGTATTTGGGCAGTTTATTCTCTGTTATATTCTGTACAAGTAAATACTGTACAAGTACAGTACAGTATTTTCTGAGGAAATACTCGTACTTATTTTTTTTAACCCCATTCCCGATAACTCGGCATTTTCACAAACTCGGCCACCCTTCGGTCCACATTAGGTCGAGTTTTCGAGGTTCTACTGTATTGAAGATTTTCTAGATTAAAAATATGAAATTAGTATAATTGGATTCAATTTTCCTTCATATTGTTATCTTGTTTTTGAATTATCATAATGAAACCAATTTTATTTTTCATATTTATTTCTATTAAAATCATTACAAAATACATACTTTCAAAAAAAAAAATTATTAAATCTTTTTCAAATCGATTGGGATAAAGTTACTAATGGCTTTATTTTCAAGTAATTCTATTCATATTTTGAGACGTACAAAATCTTTCTCTTCAATTGTTGAAGAGGCTGAAGGCATTTGCATCTATTCAATTCCAATGATACATAAGTTTTTCTGAATACAAATTTAAAAATAAATTCGTCTTCACCAATAAATGCATTTAGATTTTTATCGTTATTCTTCGAACTTACTGTTAGTAATTTACATTCTATAGAAACAATAGATACAGTAGGAAGTACTTTAATCATTATAAAGCGAATACAAACAACACTCTAATTCATACCATTTTCCCACCGGCGCAGCGGCAAAATGGATAAAACCATTGAATAGGACTTAGGTTCGAGCTTCACCAACGGCTAACCGCATGAAGTTTTCATGTGTCTAACGCCTAAATAGGAGCCAGTTTCCCATAAAAAGTCATCCCGAAAGGCATTTTCATGGCAGATCGCCCATGTGTTGCGTTGCCGTATTCCATAAAAACCAATCGAAACTATTTCGTATGATTTCATTAATAATTCCATCGATTTAGAGGAATTTAAAATAATTTTAACTTCTGATGCTTAAGTCTAATTCGTTACATAAAATACAATTGACCTTATCATCAATTAACACAATTACTGAGTTTTTTTATTTCAACAATAAAATAAAAATTTTACTAAATTATATTGCCGTTTTCTCATTAATGAAACAAAAGAAGTTTTGTAATTTTAGATTAGGAACAAGAAATAAATATAGCACAGTATAATAGCAAATATTTCGCATTTTCATGTGAAATTCTGATCGAAATCAATACACAATCTTGATTGCTTGATTAAGATGATACTGCATGATACAAATATAACATAAAACACTTACAAGTAATGACGATTCAAAATGAATGTATTTCATTTAATTCTAATCATCTTTACAAGTAGGCTAATGATGATAACTGCAATCGTTACAAAATGATGACTATTAAAATTACCTCATTACAATAAATATTCAATTAGAATAAATAAATTATATTGCGGGCAAAAATTGTGATGATTTATATTCTATATTAACCGTTCATTTTCAGTGAATTATTCCAAAGTTTTTGTGAGATTATTTGTAATTTATTTATTAATATGATTAATTTAAAAATTCTCTTATATTCATATTTCTTTCTTCTTCTAGTTTGTATGTAGGTATGTAAAAATATATTCTTCTTTCATTGTGATCATAATTTTATTATCGTTATAAATACAGTACATACAGACGAGCATCTGTAGTCATTTTAAAAATGCATAAGCTGACAGTAATAACGTCACCAAAAAAATTAGCAATAGAAAAAGTAAGTTTACTCATGTATTGAGAATGTTTGCAGTAGGGAGGAATCGATAATTATAAACGCGGATTGCAAAGTAAGTAGACGTTAGTATGAAATCTACATTATCGAATGCAGCCCAAGTCTTGAAGCAGTTACATAACAATTAGGTCAGAGGCCCTTTGTATGACTATAAGCAAGATCTTGTACAATCAATATTAAAGGTATTACTTTAATTGAGTAAAATCTTGGAACTGGTACAAGTTTGTTTCTCATGAAGCAAAGAGAAACGTTTTATGGCTACGAAAGATACAAATGTGCTAACTTCCGGCTATGTGAATATAGTATACAGTGGTACCTCAGGATACGAAATTAATCCGTTCCGAAACTGAGATCGTATCATGAAAATGTCGTATGGTGGATCATCTTTTCCCATACGATTACATGTAAAACCAAATAATTCGTTCCAACGCGAAAAACATACTCAAGCCAAGTAATACATTAAAAAATATAACTGTAGTAACAAAAACAAATGAAAAATGCGAACTAATGTAACGTCGTATGGTGAGTTTTTGTTCGTATCGTGGAGCAAAAATATGTTCGAATTTCATGTCGTATCCTGAAAATTTCGTATGCTGGGGCGTTCGTAACCTGAGGTACCACTGTAATGTGAATACAGTAATCGGAAGAATGGAATGCAATTCAAAAGTATCAAAAATAGACTGCTATTTTGTAAGGATGAGGAATGTTAATCCATTGCATTATACAAGTCTCGAACTCTTATTTATGCTGCTGGAAATCGAAACAAAAGAAATCAAGATAAATTGCTATAATAATTTTACTATTTTAAGGCTTTCTAATTATTTGGGGTGAAATTACATTTTCGATTGCAAACCCTTAAAACGATTTAGTAATGAGCTTGTTGCATGGTAAAACCGTTTAAAGTGACTTCCTCTGTAAGTTAATCGCTGCAGCGATAATGCCAAAGACAAAATTCAAGATGGCTGCCATAAACGATAAAATACTATACAGTATTTGTAAAAATTTTAAGACCGGAATATGTATATAATCGACTACATTCGATATTATTATTTTTATAATAGAAATGACACAAAGTTATGGCTGATGAGTTAGCATTTGATTTATATAATAGTGGATGTTTACAGCAGCTGTTGATCTGTTTCTTCGGAAGCGTAAATCCCTTAAAACGACTTCCAGCAGCTTTACCAGAAAACGCACCTCATCTCATTTTGAGTCGATTGTTTCGACTACAAATGAGATTTCTGGAAGTTTGATCTTTCTGGAGATGTTGCAAAAAGACACATTTTTTAAACTGTATGAGATATAAATAACAATAAACAGATAAGTCTATAGATAGAAAAGCAATTGTTTGGATTATAATTCCAGATACGTCTTGAATTAATTCAAACATTTGGATCCTATCCATCAAGTAGATTCCTCCTGCTAGAAGAGCCTACTTTGCTATTTTGCTCGGTCTCGGAACAGTTTATCCTATGGGCAAAAAGGACAACTCCCTGGGGCCTCCAAACCAGTCTTTCATACGAAAATATTTCTTCCCAAAAATTCCCCCGAAGAAAGATGTCTGAAGTCAACACTGTACACGGTGTCTCCTAATTCAAATTTACCTATGCGCCCGTATAACGTGCGCATCTCGGACGCAGAATCCGAAGACCCCGTCTTGTAATTAAAACTCGAACAAAATTATATATCGGACATTACGAAAAGAAACTGATTTATACGGCATTCGGAGAGGTCTTGAAATTGATCATTTATGGATGTTCTCTCACCTTAAACATAAATTAAAATTGGATCAATAGTGTCGTTCTTAATATTGTATTTGCTTATTCGAGGTTACTTTAGTGCAGTAGCTATATACATAACGTGTTTTTATTCTTTCCATTCTACAGTATGTACTGTACTTTATATATACCCTATTAACTTACTTTAACAGATTTCCTCACGGTGACGTCAGACACACATTCTTCTCCAAAGCAGCACAGACAGAATGTGGTTTTCTTCGTTCTTCCTTTAGTAGAAAGTTTGCGCCTTTTATTTGGGTTTCTATAGCTAATGTTCCCTTTATATTTGGTTTTCCACACGTCTCCTTTTTTAACCAATTTAGAAAGCGCAGTTTCCACTTGCCAGAAACGGAATCCCGGATGATTCTTTTCTACAAATCGACAAATTCGTTCCAAGTCGGGACGAGATTTTCGATGTCGTAAATGATCGATTGCCTCTAAAATCCACTTTTTAAACATCTTAATATTTATAGAATTGAATCAATTAGACATTTTTGCTTAAACTCTGGAAAAGCTTCGTCTAAAGAAGACGAACGAATTGTAAAATTGGCGGGAATAAGCGACCTCTTCAGTTCGTAATCAAAAAATTAATAACGTCAAACGTCATTTTTTGAAAATTTCTCGAGACTTTGATCCGCATTATAAATTTAAAATTTTTATGATTTAAATTATGGAAATTAAACCTTATATATTTAGAAATAATAATAATTGAAACAAAATACGGTGTGCAAAAATGTTTTTTGCACACATTTTCTAACTTAGGATTACCTTAAGTTATAAAAGGAGGGTACGTCCTCCTTTTATTTTATAAGGTATCCAAGAATTACTGCTAAATTTAAATAACTGAAACTACAATAATTAATCATCTTTTTTGATTGATTTTTTTAAACAAAAAGTTGATTTTTTGTACTATTGTTTTAAGTTGGCCAAGCGGTCAAGGGGGCAGTTTACCGCTCTAGGGGACCCGGGATCGTATCCGGACGGGTTGAAAATTTCCAGAATTTTTCGGGGGTGGTCCGTCCGGATATGTCATATGTCGGGCCCCATCCCTCACCAACCGGCTGCCTCATTGTGGGCCTGGCCGAGCCTATAATGGGTTTGTTAATGGAGACTCTCTTAGTGCCCACATGGCGGAGTTTTTAAAAAATATTGTTTTACAAGTCTATTCAACACATCCGCAATATCCTTTTAAGAACAATTTCTCAATTTATAATTTTTCATCTGGTAACTTCATCGAAAATTAGACAATTTCATTAATTGTAAGAAAATTGACCTTAGATGGGCGAGACGGTTAAGGTGTCAGCCTATCGTTCTGAGGCCCAGGTATCGAAAAATGCCAGAAATTTTTCGGGTAGGGGTCTGTCCTGGATATATCGGAACCATCCCTCATCACCCGTTCCCATTGTGAGTCTAGCCCACGAACTCGTAATGAGCATGATTAGACGGCCGCTCCAGTGTTCATAAGAGTAAAAAAAAAGTAAAATATAAAACACTTTGATATATAATCCTATATAGTTTTATTATAAAATTATGTTTTTGGTATTAAATATTAAATAATTCACTACCAAACAAAATTATTTAAAATATTTTATTTATAGTCATATATTTCCACAAGAGAAACCATCATACCGAAAAAAAGATTCGACATTTTCTTTTATACAAAAGCTCCTAATACTACATCTTAATTACAAAACAAAAATATTGTATTAAAGCAAGATGTAGAAATGTTTTTTTTTTTTTTACAGTCTCTCTTAAAATTTTAATCATTTCCAACGATTTAAAATGCAAACAGAAAACATTTTAATCAGTATTGTTGAATTTATGACAGCATTCTAAATTCAAACTAGCCAAGAAACTTTGAATTCTTTCTAATTAACAATCTTTAGCAATTTAAATCATTTCTAAACAATAATTTTAAATATGGAACTTCATCATGATATGGTATTTATCAGTAATTAATTTACGTTCTAAAAAATATTACAAAATATATCAATTATTATTATAGAAAAAACATTTTTCAAAATTTCAATTAAGTTATTATTGATCTATTTTATAAGTTATAGTATTTCCCCGAATAAGAAAAACCGATGTGCTAGATTTTAAATTTTGTATCATTCTGCCGCCATAGCTCAGCAACTTACAGAATAAAAACTTCGAAAATTTAATTTTTTACAATTTATAATTTCTTAAAAAAATCGTATAAAAATGATAAGATATGCTGAATATAATTAACCCGGAATTGTTTTCCTTCGCTTATGTAGACTAATGAACATCGGCTCCATTCTTATTCTGGGAAAGACATACTTGACATAACATTGAACTTAATCGTTTTGCAATTGACAAACAAAACAAACAGAATTTAAGATTTCATAGAATGACTAGTAAAATTAACTAGAGCCAGATTTTAGAATGAAAATTATAATATACATATAATTATATACTAAATAAATAATTCTGTATATAAAAAAATACAAGTTGAAAGATCAAAATTATTGAAAAAAAATATTAGTAAGTAATTATAAAAATTTTAAATAAAATAAAGCAGTCTATACATAGTAAATAAAACATATTTCTGTGTAATTCTTATAAAAGTAACCAAAAATTTCAAAGCATTAAATCTGGCTCCAATTATTAACATAAATGTATGAAAAGATTCTTATTAAGTATGAAATATATGTGAGAATAAAACAAAATCTATAATAAAACATATTTACAAAAAATTTTCTGACCATTCCTTATCAATCGTATACTTCACTGTCAATGGCACTATGATTTGAATAAGTATACAACCCTTTTTATGGTATTTTGTAACAATGTAATATATTCTGTATAAAAATTGCAATTTAAATAATAGAGTAAATAAGTACATTTCATTAGAAATGTAGCTTATTGGCAAATTTTCAAAAAACCAGATATCACATATGACTATATTGCTTTTATTTATATTTCAAAAGTGAGAAAAAACATACTAGTATGTGTTCAGATTAGCTAAAGAGCTTTGTTACTTTGTTCATTATTAGAAAAATTCAATTTAAAGCAAAATAACAAAATTTTTACATATATATATATATACAAATAATTCTACTAAATGATTTTATACAAAATCATCATCTGCTTTTATTTGTTTATAGTTTAAAAACATTATCTATAGAACATGATTACCACTTGTATATAATGAATAGCTGGTATTTCAATTATAGTGGTAGGCATGTTAGGTTAAAATTTTTATTAAAAATAAAAAAATTAGAATCCTAATATTTAATATTTTTACAAATTAATATTTTCATCAGATAATCCTGTTTGTAGCCTCTTTACATGATTATATATCTTTAAAGCTGGTCCCAATTTAATTGAAAGTCCTGTAAGGACATCACTACGTTTCAATAAAAGTAATGACTTTCCATCAATTTCCTAAAATAAAAATTGAAAAATATTAGATATTTAATAAATAAACTAGTTTAAAAATTTTTCGTTTTTTATTCTTAAATGATTCTTTTCTCTATATCAGAAAAAAAATTTATTTTATGTTTAAATTAACCATCAGTTTTTGATGTAACAAATATATATTCATTTGTTTAAAGTGAAGTTTTATACAAACATTAAGTGCATATCTGTTTTTATTTGAAAATAGAATGTATATAACTAGTGCTTCTTAAAATAAAATATAACAAAAATTTAGTCAGAAACAAATAAAATTTTTCAAAAAACTTTAAATAGCTCAAATAAAACAATAATTAATGTATAGCATTAATTTCTTCTTAAAGATTGTTGATAAAATTTAAATCATGATTAAAATGTTTTAAATATTTCTTACTGTTCCTAGATTTTTTTAAATTAAGATCATTATGCAGGGTGTATCAGAATGACATTTTAAAAATTTGGGGATTGTAGAGGATGAAATTTTAAACATTTTGATATAAAGAACCTATAGCCAGAAATGAGATATAACATTTCTACAGCACTTTACACGTTTTATGTGGTTGGTATGCTGAATGAAACAGCAGAATACAGTATTTATGACAAGTTTTATTGACAAAACAGTAGAGTACAATCAAACTGTACATCAAATCAGTGGTTGTTCTACTTTAGAGTAAACGTTCAATGTGACAACCACCAACTTCAACTCACGTTGACTAACTGTGTGTTTACAGCACGGCGCCAGTGGATGCAAGGAGTGACCTGAAGGACGACAAGCACTAAGTACACAACATCCTGTACACAGGCTCAGTTAGACCACTGTAGTTGTGTGTTTATGTCTTCCATCTGCAGCAATAACATGACATCAATGGATGGAAGGGTAGCTACCAAAGTGAAGGGTGGTCAAGCACTTCCTACCACTGTAGACACTTTAGTTCAAATTTCTGGCTATAGGTTCCTTATATTATAACGTTCAAAATTTCATCCTCTACAATCCCCCAAATTTTTAAAATGTCATTCTGATATACCCTGTATATATACCAGAAAACATCATTGTATACACAAATGTATTATTATATTGACAGCATAGGCTTTAGGATAAATTCAACAGCCCAATTACTGCAATTAATAATGAAACAAAATTAAATTAAAGCCATTTCAATTACCAGAACTCAAAGTTTATATTGAGAAGATATTATAGATAATATAAATGCATTTGAAAATACATTCAACATTTTGATTATCTGGTTTCCCATCATCTTTTTAGAATGAATTTTATTACTGTTGACAATTGTAATAGTTTTAATTCTGTTTCAATAAATGAGCCATTCACAAGCCAAATCGATTAACTCCATATTTTGAATTTTTAAAAATTTTAGTGTGAAAGCACTTGATATACTGGTAACTTTTTATATTCATAATAAGTTGTCCTAATAATAAGGATCAATACCACTTAATGACAAAATTTTATTGGCCATCAAAAAAAGTTTTATTTCAGAAGCCAATCAATCTAATTAACTCCATACTGTAACATTAATCTGCCAGCGCACACTGCGATTTCAATGCTGCAGTGTGTGCTGACCAGTGCTTTGTAGATAATGATAAATTATTTAATGTTATCTCATCACAAAAAGTAAGTAAAAGAAATTAGTTAGTTACAGTTCAACTTCTGCAGAAGTAAGTACACTTGTGGAATATTGAACAATTGTTTTAAATTTTGGTGACAATTTTTTTGGAAAAAATAAAAGTTATACCAGTTATATCAAGATGGATAAAACTAAAAATAATTTTTTCATTCCTCCTATTAAACATGAATCTTATAAAACTTTAAGAACAAATCAGCATGATGGGACCTCAAATACAGGTAACAAAGAAGACTTCATTTATGTTGCTGAATGATCAATTTAAACAAAATAATAAATAACAACAATTGTAACAGTAACAGAACAGTTATTATTCATTTTTGTGAAAAATCTTTAATAAAAAATGTACACTAATGTGAAGACTGAACGTGAAGACTAATGTTATGTTTTTCCTTGCCAAATCGATTAACTCCCTCAATCACATCAAAATTGTAATAATGATTATAGCATATCTATGCTATCTTATACATTTTATGTCATTAAATAAAAGCTACATGTACAATAATACATTCTACAATGTTTATTTGATTTATATTTTACAAGGAATTTTAAAAAAGAATGTATATTACTTTGTCACTTTTCTCCACTTTTTGTTTTATGGAGTTAATTGATTTGGAAGTGAGCAGCACAAATAGAATTAAAGATTTTGTAATTATCAAAATTAACTCATTGAAATTCATTAAAAAACGTATAGCTATAGAGTTTACATCACCAAACGATCGCCTAAATATCGGGCTATAATACGGCTAATTAAATGATTGGAATAAAGTAATTTGACACTAGAGGTAGACGTTAGGCGCCATCTCTTAAGTAAATTAATAATTAAATAAATAAATCAATAAATAAATTTAGAATCTTCTGGAATAAAAGAACTGGCCCGGGGCGGGACTCGAACCCGCAGCCTCCGCTTGCCGTGCGGCGCGCTTACCAGTTACGCTACCCAGACCCTCGAGCTAGTCTTCGCTTCCAGAAGTATATTAGATTTAGATATAACCTTACTTGGTTAAATACATTACTGACTGGGGACGACTCCTTCGCCCACGGCCATAACGGCACTCAGCCAGCTAACGCAACACCCGGCGAGGTATATATATATATATA